AGGACCTCATTTTTCCACTCTTAGATTATATTACATCTTTGTCCTAGCCAGTGTGTCAGTGATTCTCACTAGGGGCTTCTTTGTAATTCTAGAAAACATAAAACTACTCTATTTCAGGCTTATTACTCAGTTTCTTTACTTTAAGCCTAGTGGCAGGGGAAAGCAGGAGCATCAGTAGGACTTTTTTTTTTTTTTTTTTTTTTTAAGTAAGATTAATAGGGGTGCCTGGGTGGCTCAGTCGTTGGGCCTCTGCCTTTGGCTCAGGTCATGATCCCAGGGTCCTGGGATTGAACCCTGCATCAGGCTCCCTGCACGGTAAGAAGCCTGCTTCTCCCTCTCCCACTCCCCCTGCTTCTGTTCCCTCTCTCACTGTGTCTCTCTCTGTTAAATAAATAAAATCATTTTTTTTAAAAATCTTTAAAATAAAAATAAAGTAAGATTAATAGGGACTGGTCTGGGATTATAAGATCAAAGTGAGAAGGTAGATTTAAATTAAGGACAGCATCAGTGGCTCATCAGAGACAAAACCAGTCCTTCCAGGTCTGGGTTTTAATTTAGACTCTCCCTCCCCTTGAGGCGATCCTTAGCCCGTAAATGCTGAAAGTGAGGAGTATCCCAGCCCAGAATGCTGTCTCCTTAGCAAAAGTGACTTATCACACTGGCCAGAGCAGTTTCCAAACCAAAAATTCCCCAATTGTTCCTTTTTAGAATGTGTCCCGTCACTTCCAAAGACGGAATCCAAACCCTAGGCTTTTTCTTGCCTGAACTGGTTGCGTGCTTCCAGGTGTGGCTCATGTATACAATTAGATTCATCAAACAAGGTCTTAGCCCCTTTGGCCTCCATTAATGGGCACGCAGTGTATGGCGATAGCTGAGCAGTGCCAGGGAAAGCATCCGTCTTTCCTGTGGCATCCTTTAAGTCTGATCCTTTAGACTGAACTGTAGGGTTTTTTTCACTCCTGCAGAGAGGATGAAACATCTCTTGCACTAACCAAGAGTAACTTCAGAGAAAGGACACCAGAGAGCCACCCGGGGCAGGTCACCCAGGTGTAGTTGATCATCCACTGTGTAATGAGGTTTTTAAAATCTGTGCTCTGGGTGGCTTGGCAAAAGCATTTTCACTTCTCCCTACTTCCCCTTCCTCCTCCACTTTAATTTCCTATATGTGAAACAGCTTCAGAGGGATACGATTCCTGCATCATCAGTCCCATTGGGCCCTCTGCAGAGGGTTTTGTGAGATAGATACTGCAGAGAAAAGAAGCAGCCAGTGCTCACGCTGGGTAGCAGTGTAAGTTGCGAGTTGTTGCTTAGCATCTGTAAAAGGAAGAGTGTCATCAAAGCTTAACGCTATAGGGGTATCAGCAGCCTGTGGTGGTCTAATTAGCTCACCCTGCTCCGTTGCTTTTTTTAATCCCCCCAAAAGAAGCTTCCCACCCTTTCTTCCACCTGGGCAGGTACATACATCTCAAATCTGTCCCCAGGTGATTGTGTTCCTGGAATTTAGGACCGCGAGATGTTGTATTGTGCCTGCAGATAAGGACAAAGCCCCTGACAGTCTCCACTATTGGAGAAGGAAGAATCTCTGGGCAGCATTGAAGTTAAACATCTAAGGTGGTTTTTTCCTTTTTTTTTCACTTCGATTTCCTTCTAGATTTAACAACAGAGGGGTTTATATGTTACTGTGATTCTTTTGGTCTAAAATTTTTAGCCCCTTTTGTTTTCTTGATCCCTCTTCTTAGACTAAACTTATCTTTGAGAAATGGCGTACTTCTATTTTGGGTACCCCTTCCAGTTGTGCTCTCACACCTATGACTCCTGAAGTCATACAGCCTTTTGTTGTGTGGCAGACATCCTGTTATCTTGTTGATCTGCTCGTTCACAGCACTCAAAAAGGAACCTCTAGGTTGGGGAGATTTCTCTGAGAAAATGGCTTTATGTGTACTCAAAAGAAAATGATTTTCCCTGTAAGTGAACTCCTTTAGGAAACAAATGCTGAAGAGTTACATAACAGAGCTGTCAGCAAGCCGAGACTCCCCGGGATGGTCATTGGCCCCTTTTCATTTTTTTTTTTTTTAAAGATTTTATTTATTTATCTGTCAGAGACAGAGGGAGAGAGAGAGCGAGCGAGCACAGGCAGACAGAGGCAGAGGGAGAAGCAGGCTCCTTGCTCGGCAGGGAGCCCGATGTGGGACTCGATCCCAGGACGCTGGGATCATGACCCGAGCCGAAGGCAGCCGCTTAACCAACTGAGCCACCCAGGCGTCCCGGCCCCTTTTCATTTTTTAACAACTGTCAACTCAACACTGGCCATGTGCAGAACCCTAGGCCAGTTATGAAGGGGGAGGATGGACAGAGCCATGGACTAGGCTGACGTGGGTTCTCCCTTTGTGGATCTGTCCACAGGCCTGACTCTTGCTGCCAGGCCCTGCAAGATAGAGTCCCTGCTGTGGGTCTGCCATCATCAGACACAGCAGTCTCTTCTTTTTCCTGCATCTCCCACGGAAAAGTGCCATCATCCCTTTTCAACCTTGCAAAGCAAAGGAAAGTAGAATTGTGTCTTTTCCTTTGTACTGTTCTGTCAGTGAAGCCTTTATTCCTCAGGTCCAGTGGGATCCACAAAGGATTTAAGGCAGCCCCAAGACAGCACATACTTGTTTCCCATTGATCACTGAGACAGAATCTATTGGGTGTCTCAGTTGGGGAACAGCTTCTTTGCCATCTTGCTGTGAATACCAGCTTTGTCTGGAGAATTCACTCGGGCTAGAGAGGAGCCATGTCAGTTTTGTTTCCAGAGACTTTTTTTTTTAAGATTTTATTTATTTATTTGTCAGGAGAGAGAGCACACACAAGCAGGCAGAGTGCCAAGCAGAGCAGGCAGAGGGAGAAGCAGGCTTCCGGCTGAGCAAGGAGCCCGATGTAGGACTCGATCCCAGGACTCTGCGATCATGAGCTGAGCCAAAGGCAGCTGCTTAACCTACTGAGTCACTCAAGTGCCCCTCCAGAGACTTTTTGAATGATCCTTGACCTCTCACATCCATCCCACCAGTAATCTCCATCTTGCTCCCACCTAGTAATATATTGAAAGAAGATGTTAACAGGTTCTGTGGGGGTTTAAATTAATTAATTAGTTTCAAGGTTTTATTTAAATTCTAGTTAGTTAGCATACAGTGTAATATTGTTTTCAGGAGTAGAATTTAATGATTCATCGCTCACATATAACACCTAGTGCTCATCACAAGTGCCCTCGATGGGTTCTATGTTTCAGTCTCTTAAGTGGAGGCAACAGAAGGGACAAAAGTGAGTGACTTTTTTCATTCAAATGCCTATTTTTTTGGATTGTTTGGTTTTCTGTACCATGTGAGACTACAGGTAGGACTGGGCAGTTATCACTGAAAGTCTTATGGTTTTTTTTTTTTTTTTTTTTTTTTTTTTAGTCTTATGGTTTTTATACTGAATCCTTAAGCACTATCAGGGCTGGGTCCTCCCTTTCAGATGGGAGAAGCAGAATTCCTTTGTTAATAGAATACAGTTGCTGAGGTCAGGCAGCCCTGAGATGGTCTCCCAGTCTAACCATTTACAAGTCATGTGACTATGGGCAAGTTACTTAACCCTGAGCCTCAGTTTCCTCATCTGTAAAATATTCTTCAAACCAGCCACCTGATTAGTGGGATTAAATGAGATAACGTTTACAAACCCCCTGGCCGTAATAGGGACTCAGTAAGTGTAACTTTTTTTAAAAGATTTTATTTATTTATTTGACAGAGAGATAGAGAAAACAAGTAAGCAGAGTGGCAGGCAGAGGGAGAGGGAGGAGGAGATCCGAGCACCCTGGGATCATGACCTGAGCCAAAGGCAGATGCTTAGCGACAGAGCCACCCAGGTGTCCCAGTAAGTGATAACTTCTTAAATGTTAGAACCACCCCTGGAGCCTCTGCCAAGTATCCAGGGTACTCGGCCCCTGTGGAGCTTCTTTAATCTTTCATCAGTTGGTCAAGAGGAACTCCTGAAGGTACGTAGTGGATGCTCTGTAAACAGTGAATGAATGAGGGGGCCTTGGTACTTTCTTTGTTCTGTTGCCTTAGAACAGCACTTCACACTGTGAGTTTTGCATTGGGAGATGTCCCCGAGAGATGCTTTGAGGAAACTGGCGAGTTAGATTTGGGGAATGCTATAGAGTCTACAGTATGTAGATGGATTCTAGCCTTCTCTAGAGAGGAATAGTGCATATCGCTATTAGAGAAGTTTGGAAAAGTTGGGGAGAGAAGAAACCTCCCTGGCTTTCCAAATTTGGCCTTTTCCAAGCTCATTTGACTATATGGGGGTAACGATAGTACCTCCGTGAGGCTGTGATGAGGCTGTACTGGGGTAACTCGCACGAAGCACTTAGAGCAGTGCAGGGTGGAGTAAGCACACAAAGGGTTGGCTGTAACTAAGTGCTTTTTAATCTGTGGACTTCGCAGAGTATCTAGCCATCCCCTTACGTATTTTTATAAGACTATTTATCCATTTGACAGAAAGAGCACAAGCAGGGGGAGCAGTAGACAGAGGGGGAGAAGCAGACTTCCCGTGGAGCAGGGAGCCCGATGCAGGGCTGCATTCCAGGACACTGGGATCATGACCCGAGCTGAAGGCACACACTCAACCGACTGAGCCACCCAGGTGCCCCATTATTAATGGGCATTTCAGTTATTTCCGATGGTGTATTGTATGGACAGGGTTGTAGGAAAACCCTACCATCTGTGCCAGTATTTCTGTGGGAGAGAGTCCTACAAGTAGAACTGCTGGGTCAAAGGATACACACATTCAAAAATTTGGTGGATCCCTCAGAATTACCTTCCAAAAGCTGATCAGCTATTATTTAACAGCTCATTTGCCCCATAGAGAGATAAGAAGCTATCTTCCCATACCACGTGTGTGCTGGATCCTGCCTTCGTCCTGTGCTCCGTGACTGAAAATAGAGCTGACACAACAGAAAGTCACCCCTCTCTTATGTCTTGCAGAGTCCGGCCACAGATAAGGGACCAAAATGACTGACTCAAAGTATTTCACCACGACCAAGAAAGGTACTCTTTGTTTCATTGTGGGGTCCTGTCCTACCCTTTCCTGGCTCCATCCTTCTGCCTTCTCCCTGCCAGGATGGGCTTTGGGGGCAGGGGTGGCGGCCTGGAAGCAAGTGACGGGAATTACCCAGAGCATCTTTAACCTTGTGGATCCAGAACATTGAAGAGTTGATGGTATAGGAAATTGACTACTACTTTTTAGAACTCAGGAAGGGAAGAGCATTAGCTCCAAATGGAGAGGGGGGAAGCCCCCTTTTGTTCTGAATGGCCTTTTTAAATATGTTTTTTCCTGGAGGAAAGAAAGCACACAATCCTTTCAGTAACCCCACAGTGATATGTGTGTGTGTGTGTGTGTGTGTGTGTGTGTGTGTGTGTGTCTAGTCTTTATCCACAGGCACGTGTTTTACATGGTCAGAGTCAGAATTTATATCCTGTTTTTCATTTGACATTATCTTAAACATTTCCCCACAGTTGTAACTACTCAGTGTTAGTCTGCTGAGTTGATGCACTGAAATTTGCTCAGCTCGTCTTCTGTTTTAGGGCATTGTGGTTGTTCCTGCTTTCTGGGAAGCAGAGGTGGTTGTAGTGGCTGACGAATGTGCTTTAACCCTGTAAGCATCTTCCTAACCGGCCCTCCCTCCCTCCTTCCTTCCTTCCAAGCAAGATCGACACATGCCTGCTGACCAGATGAAAAGAGGCTGTTGAGGCAGCTGAGCCAGGACCTGTAATCTCCTCTTCCTCTTATTGAGCACATCTTTATTGTTCTAGCTTTCTTGCAGTTAAGCAGAGAAGACAGTCTGTTAAATAGTAATCACACTAAAGGTGGTGGGTGCTATGGTAAGGGAAGCGCAGGGGGCTGTGGGCGGACCTTGGGTGGAGCTAGCTGGTTAAGAAGGGGAAGGGTAGAAAGGGGAGCAGAGCACTTACTCTGCCCAGGGTATGCCCAGGGAAAGGAAGACACCTGGGCACAAGTTACTGAAGAGTATGCTGGAAGGAGAGTTGGAGAGTTTAGGACTAGAGGGGGTGAACCTAGTGCTAAGTGAATTGAGGTGTCAGTGGTGGGGTTTTTGTGAGTTTTCTTTTGAGGAGAATGTCTGTAGAGGGATGCCTGAGTCCAAATCAGACATCGGTGATGGTTTTAAGCAAGAAAAAATCCAAGGCAGTTTCTAGTAAAGAATTGAAGGGGGTGAAGATTGGGGGTAGGCAAAGGGACCAATACCACAGCTCCCATGAGAGATTATGGTGTCTGAGCTGGAGAGAGGGGTGGGGTGGGGTGTAGCATTGTGGGTAGAGTAAATCGGATGCTTTATATGAGATTGAAGAGGTAGGCTTGGTGAATGATTTGATTTGGGGCCCATTAGAGGAAAGAGACATTTTGGAAACAGGCAGATCCCAGGTTCACCTCATCAGTCTTCTTAGAACTGAAGTGACTCCATCAATTGATGGTCAGTTGTATTGAATCTGACCAAACACTTTGAGCAAAGCCCTGCAACAGGACCCAGGGTCAAAGTCATGATGGTCTGTTAGATCCTGCAGCAGGGAGACATGGCTACCTCAGTGTCTTGGAGGGGAAGGGCATATGTTCCTCTAGTCCTACAGAAGTCAAGAGTCTGAACTGCAAGGTCTGCAGATTCCTCTTGGGTCTGTTGAGCAATATCCTCATGATGGCCTTGCTCTGGGCCGTACTGTGTGATTGTTCTTAATTAACTTTGTTTGTTCTCTGTCATCTCAAGTTCTTTCCTGACACATTGTTCAGTCATGATAAAAACCTGCAAATTTTCTTTTTCTCACTGTAAATCCATCTAGAACTTCCTCAGCACTTCCCCCCTACATGACAGTCGTTGCTTTATTCCCACCCCAAATAACTTGAGAGAGAAGTTTGGGACCCTTTCTGTAAAAGAGTAATCCAAGCCAAGCGTCCCATGGCAAATTAGTAACAGTAGCAGTCACCTTTAATGCAGGCCACTGAGTGCCAGGCACTGAGATGAGCATTTTACAACATTTACAACAGTGTTAAATGAGAGAATTCATTGCCCCAGTTAAAGTAGGGAGAGTACAGATGAAACGGGTTCAGAGAAGCAAAGGGATATCCTTGATTGGCACGAGCATATGGGCTTTGAAGCTGGCAGATGTGAATTTGAGTCTTGGCCCTACCTGCTACTAGCAGTGCGTTCTTGGGCAAGTCAGAGCCTCCATTTGTTCATCTGTAAAATGGGAGGAAATGCAGAGTTGTCATGAGGATGAAATGAGAAATGGGGGAAAGTGTGGCACCTGCCTTAGAAAAAGGCTCAGGAAATCCTGGCGGCTCCTGTTTTGAGGGCAGGAGGCCTGTCTCATTCCAAAGTCTGCCCTTGTAACCTGTCATTGGGGTTATCTGAGCCCTGAACAACCCTATCTTCTCATTTGTTTTTTCCAGATCATCAAGTTCTTAAGAAAAGCATATTACGTGCTCAGGCTCTCGTGGGGCAGCTGAATTCCCATTTTCAGAGCTGAGCAACCACTTGTGGCTCAGGAAGTGAAACCCTGAATGTACTGTTTTAACTGGAGGTTCTAGGAAAACAGGAAAAGCCAAGTGTGGGAATCGAGCAAATCCTACCCTCTCCCTTCACATCTTCAGTCCCCAGATTCCATCACACACCGCCTTGAGGGCTTTGGGTGAGGGTGGTAGCTGAGGAGAATTTTGCTTTCCTCTGAATGTTTTTAACTGCTTGCTGAGCAGGACCTGTTCTCATACTTTTTGTCTGCCTCAGAATGTTTGTTTGCTTCTGTAGTTCCCTCTGTTCAGTCCAGCACGGCCTCCACACTGCCCTCCTCAGAGCTGTCCCCCTCTGCTGCCTCTGTCACTGAGGCCAAGGACCTAACGCGGCCCTCAGCTGGCAGCACAGGTGTCTTTACCTGCCCCTCCCCTCCCATTCTTCTGGAATTTGGGGACTGGGAATGGCCCCCTGGCAGGGTGGGGGTGATCACTCATGCCTGCCTCCTTTTTTAGGGGAGATCTTCGAGCTGAAGGCAGAGCTCAACAGTGACAAGAAGGAGAAGAAGAAGGAGGCGGTAAAGAAAGTGATTGCATCAATGACCGTGGGCAAAGATGTCAGGTGTGCAGGCGTAGGCCCGGTGGCAGCTGGAGCGGGGCTCCGTAGCATGGGTCTAGTTCACTTCGCTCCTTGACGGTATCTCTAGGCACTCCTGTCTCCCCTTGCTATGGCTCCCTTCACGAGCCACCTTTCCACTCAGAAGATTTCATTTACACAGGGGTCCTATGCTCAGATGCTGCTGGGGTTCGGGGCAGTGGAGTCAATAGTGAAGTGGGCAAGGTCAAAAGGCAGGAACCCTGTCAGAAATTCCAGAGGTTTGCTGCCAGCTGGGGAAAACGAACCCAGTATGGGCAGGTGTGGCTTTTTAAAAGAATAAGAAATCTAGATTTTTTCATTTTGAATCTTATTTTTAAGATTGCCAGATGATATTAAACAAACATTGCAGTGACACTGACACACACCTGTGGACGGGATTCATCGGATCGGTCGCCAGTTCACAGCCTCTGGTTTACATCTGACCGCCAGAGCAGCTGATGGGTAGCATTGCCACCTCTCTGTTGCTCACTCTCTTCCCCTGTGTAGACTGTCCCTTTCCCCTTTTCCATTTACAAGCTTGTTTCCCATCTCTGAAAATCCATTCAAGGTCTCTTTGTTGCCTTCTCTCGTCACTCCAGCCCACTGCCCTGAATGTGCAGCATTTGTTCTGTGTTCCTGTCACCTGGCACTAATTCTAGACTGTCCTTTTCTGATGTGTACTTGTGTTCACCTGTCCACCATGTCATTAAGTCCCCGGCGACAGGGACTAGATTTTGTAACAACCTAACAGTTGCATAGTATTTGAGAGTATGCAGAGAACTTTCGGATATGTTTTTCAGCAGTTCCTTACAGTTCCCACGTTGTACGTAACAATGTGTTTACTGCCAAAGAAACCAGATAAAGAAGGGGTATAGGGACTGCCCCCAGTCACGTGGTTCATAGCAGAACTAGGACGCAAGCCCAGCCCTTCTGAAATCCAAATCCAAGGTGTTTCCACGCATACCCCCTCCTATGTGCCTGCATGGTGCCCAGCTCCATGCCTCATAGGCCTGGGCGCTGGTGTGGGGCAGCTCCTCATCTGGATTGTATTTCTCCAGACTTCTCCATGGATTGCCCTGTCCTGTTGCCACCTCAGCAAGGGACCTCCTAACAGCACCACAGCAGAGACAGTTCTGCAGAGACACCTGCTGTAGACAGAGTGGCAAAAGGATCAGGCGTCTGCTGGAGAACTGGGCCTCCTCCCAAGTCACATCCTTCCCGGACAAAGCCACTCTTCTTCAGATAGAACACAACTGTCACCTCCTCACAGAGGAAGCATCTTTATTCTTTTGTCTCAAGTGAACTTGTTGTGCTGGTGTGGCAGGCCCATCAGCGGTTCCTCCCCCCCCCCCCGCCCCCCCCCCCCCCCCCCCCGCCCCTTTCTTCCTGGTTCTTCATCTTCCAAGGTGATCCATCAATGTCAGCATCAACTGGGTTCCTTCCTAAGGGAGCCCAGGGAGCTCACTTTGACCTCTTGAGTCTCTTTTACCATGTCTTCGACCATTAAGTCACAAGACTTGAGAGGGGAGGTGAAGATTCCAGAGAGAGAAAATTGACCTCTAATCCTATTTCACATCTCAACGGTGTTAGGACTCTGGGGTTCCATGTTGGGAAGGGTTCCACCCAGAATAACAGCAGTCATGAGCACAGGTTTTAGAGCCAGACCTGGCTCCTCAGGCAAGTTATTTGACTTTTTTTTTTTTTTTTTTTAAGATTTTATTTATTTGACAGAGAGAGAGATCAGAAGTAGGCAGAGAGGCAGGCAGAGAGAGAAAGGAAACAGGCTCCCTGCTGAGCAGAGAGCCCGATGTGGGACTCGATCCCAGGACCCTGAGTTGATGACCTGAGCCGAAGGCAGAGGCTTTAACCCACTGAGCCACCCAGGAGCCCCTTATTTGACATTTATGAGCCTCAGTATTGTTTTCTGTAAAATGAGGATAACACACTGGCTTCTTGGGGCTGTTAATTGAGATCATGCATATAAAACCCTTAGTGCTAAGCCCGGCTATATAGTACATGTGCATATAGTGCATATAGTACATGTGCATGCTGGGCTAGTTTTTAGTGGACAGCTGAGCTGGCCCTTGTGGTGAAAGGAGCATGGCCCATCCCTGCTTCCCTACAGCCTTCTGGAACGAGCAGCCCAAATATAAGGGAGCCACATTAAGTATGAGGGAAAGAAAATAGTTGTTTTCATTTACTCAGCACCTCTCAGATCTCAAGGACCAGATACCTGAAATATGTTGTCTTCTTTAATTATCACAAGGGCCCTGTGTAATGGGGTTTTGCTGCACCATTCCTGCAGGTGAGCAAACTGAGACATGGTGGGGAATGAAGGAATTTTCCCAATTTCATATAGCTAGCAGGCGGCAGAGCTGGGTTTGAGCCAGGTCTGATGGGCTATAGAGTTGTAGTGAATGAACTCTGTAAAAAGAATGGAGGACTTTGCTTTTCATATCACCTTTTGGGTTCCATTGCTACCCATAAGTGGTAATAGAGCATAGCTGGTGTCTTCCCTTTTACTAGGAAGTCCTGTTATTTTTTTTCCCCTCTCTCCCATCCACTGTCCCTATTTCCCCACCCCACCCCCAAACCACCCATTAACTCTCTGAAAAATCTTCCTTTCTTCAGCCTTACCTACACTCGTGCCATTTTGACTTTCCAGTGCCCTCTTCCCCGACGTGGTGAACTGTATGCAGACAGACAATCTGGAGCTGAAGAAGCTGGTGTACTTGTATTTGATGAACTATGCCAAGAGTCAGCCCGACATGGCCATCATGGCTGTCAACACCTTTGTGAAGGTGAGTAGGAGCTTGGTCGGAGGAAGGGCATGGGTGTTCACTGCTCCATCTTTCCTCTGTCTCGGGGTGGGAGACTATGGCCCTGAGTAAAAACACTCAGGCTCCTTTCCAATCCCTCTGACTCCCAGCCTGAGGGCCTCCTAGTCCTCCAGCAGAGGGCTCCCACTGTCTCAGAAAATCAGTTGCTACAGACCCTGCTAACTCATTCCGAGTGAGGTAGCCTAAGGCCTGTATTGATCCCCATGTCCCCCCTGGGATGCACCATTGTCCTACATCCTTTGCCAGGGCAGGATTCAGCAAGCATCTGAGAGCTTCTATGTTCGCCTTCTAGACTTTGCCCCTTTCTGTGTTTTCCATCCAGATTAAGGTGCAAACAGCTACTTGAATTGTCAGTTCTGTGTACCTTTAGAACTTTCCTAACTCCCCTCACCCTGTCGATGCTCAGATACAGGCACATGAGGGGTTCTGTGGGTTATGGTGCCGGATGGATGTGGTTTGAATCATGGCTCTGCTCTGTGACTGGGTGAGCTCCCAGTCTCCCTGGGGGCCTCGGCTGCTTCACCCTGTAAAACAGGAACAGTACTGTGTGCCTGCTGTGAGAATTAGAGTCAACAATACACAAAGCCCCAGCACATTATCTGGCAAATGCTAGATGCCTGTACACAGCACTTTTGCTGCTGTCGGCCACGGTTGGTGGGCCGTCTGATATTGCTGAGCCTGCCCCTGCCGCTGGCCAATGGCTCGTTCCCCTCAGGATTGTGAGGATCCCAATCCCCTGATCCGGGCCCTGGCTGTGCGGACCATGGGCTGCATCCGCGTTGACAAGATCACAGAGTACCTGTGTGAGCCACTCCGGAAGTGCCTGAAGGATGAGGACCCGTACGTGCGCAAAACAGCAGCTGTGTGTGTCGCCAAGCTGCATGACATCAACGCCCAGCTGGTAGAGGACCAGGGCTTCCTGGACACCCTTAAAGACCTCATCTCTGACTCAAACCCCATGGTAAGCCGTTGCCACCCACCATACCACTTCCACCACCTCCTGGGTTGCTTGGGAATACCTTGGCTTCCTCTTCCACCAGGCACTCCCCAGTTCCTGGAAGTCAGAGCCTTGCTGGGTGGGCTAATTGTCCTCGTGCCTATGGTGGTTCGGGCACCATCCTTGGAGGGAGTTAGAACTGGATTCTCCCCTTTGTGCCCTCTCTAACACGAGCTATACGTCCTTTGGTGGGCTGCCTAACCTTCCAGAGCCCTCTTTTTTTCATTAGTAAGATGGATCTAACTCCGTGGCTGGCAGGAGTGCTGTGAGGCTTAAGCTGTGAAGGTAGTACAGTGGGCATACAGCCAAGACTAGTGTGCTCCTTCCCTTTCCAGTCACTGTCCATTGGTGGGCTCTGAATGTGAGGTACTTTTCCCTCTCCCCGCATCTTCGGGGTTGCAGGGTTGTAGAGGGTCACCTTTGAAGTAGCATAGCCTGGAGGGCAGGGCCTCAGGATGTCGCTGGGAGGGGAGCTCCTCTTTTTTCATGTGATAGCAGTTTGGAGGGCAATGCACCAGCCTCTGTTTAAAGTGAAATGCACAGACCCCTCAGCCCAGCCATCCCACTCTGTCCTATGGAAACACTGACCACACAGGACCCTGAGTGGCCAATACAAGATTGGCCATTGGAGCACTGTCTATTATAGGGAAAAGTTGAAAACCCTGCAGAACACACATAAAAAAAAGCTGCTCTGGTAAAAATGGCTGGAGTGCCCAAGGCTTCACCTGACATCCCCTCTGGACTCCAGCCCCCATCTGTTCCCGTGGCCTGCAGAGCTCTGCAAGAATCTTCTAGCTCCAAGAAGCACACTTGACACTCCCTGAAGTGAGCTCTTGTAGCCAGTAGGCAGGGGCTATGTGTTAGGTAGCTAGGAATATTTTCTGTTGCCAGGCATTTGGAGCTGGATCTTTCTTTTGTTTGCCCTCCCCCCCTCCCCCCCGCACTGGGGAAGGGGCCCTTAACATTCATTCTGGTTTACAGCTGAGTTAGTGGGGTGAGTGCTCGGAGTAGGTCTCCATGCTGCAGGCCCTACCCATCGGGTCCTGTCATTTCAGGATATTCAACCTCTGACCTGCCAGCATGATTTGTCCCAATGTCCCTTGGCCCGAGCAACGCCCCCAGCCTATATCCCTTCCACCCTCTCAAACAGGTGGTGGCAAACGCAGTGGCTGCCCTCTCAGAGATCGCTGAGTCTCACCCCAGCAGCAACCTGCTTGATCTGAACCCACAGTCCATTAATAAGCTGCTGACAGCCCTGAACGAGTGCACCGAGTGGGGCCAGATCTTCATCCTCGACTGCCTGGCCAACTATACACCCAAGGATGACCGGGAGGCCCAGAGGTGAGCAGGCTGCTCCTTGCTTGCCAACCTAGTGGAACCTGGTCCTTGCAGAGCTCCAGCCGTGAGCTGGTCCTCAGACCTCTGCTGGGCCCTTTGCCAGGGCCTTGCCCCACAGACCATCCTCAAGGGAAACTAGAGTCAGGCAGTCACCTCTCTGCTTAGCATGGTACAGACAGAACAGAAGCCAGAGTCCCATCTGGTTGTTGACAGAGACCCCAGTCACCTTGGGCTGAGTAAAGGAGGTGGATAGCACCAGAGTCACCATTCGTTGGATTCTTCCTGGGTGGCTGGGGCTCTGCCGAGTGCTTCCTATCCATTAGATGCTCCTTAAAGCACCTCTGTGAAAGCTGCCCCATCGTTACCCACATTTTACAGGTAAGGAAAGACTGGTTTAGAAGGCGGATGAACTCATGCAGGTCACCCGGCTGGGACTCCCTGACCTTTGGTCATAACCAACATAATACCTTGCCCCTTTTGAATGCCCTTCCAGTTGGGGGGTGGGGTGGGGGGAGGGCCTTAACACTGACCCAGTATTTATTAACTAGCGTACATGGTGCTTAGGCCTTTGTATACATTGTCTCATGTAAGCCTTCAGCAATCCTGGGAAGGTGGCACCATCATCTCCGTCTTCTAGATGAGAAAACTAAGACTTAGAGTGGTTTTAACCTGTTGGGGTCAATTAGCAAGTACCAGAAGCAGAATCTAGGTTCTCTTACAGAAAACATGCTCTCTCAGTAACTTAAATCAGGCTGTTGCCTTTGTCTTTCTCTCCTGTTTTCCCCTTTGGAATGGACCCCAGCATCTGCGAGCGGGTCACCCCCAGGCTCTCCCACGCCAACTCTGCTGTGGTGCTGTCTGCTGTGAAGGTGCTGATGAAGTTCATGGAGATGTTGTCCAAGGACCTGGACTACTATGGCACGCTGCTCAAGAAGCTGGCCCCACCCCTGGTCACGCTGCTGTCGGCCGAGCCGGAGCTGCAGTACGTGGCCCTGCGCAACATCAACCTCATTGTGCAGAAAAGGTACCCGGACTGCCACATGCACGCACAGTGCCCCTGGTCTGGTGGGGAGGAGGGATGGCTCCTCCTGGGAGCAGGACACTAAAGGGAGAGTGACCTGTTGCTGTGTAGGAAGTCTCAGGAGTTTAACCCAGAAGTCTTAACCACAGGCAGCTTTGTCCCCCAGGGGACATTTGGAAATATCTGGAGACATTTTTGGTTGTCTGACTTTGGGGGTGCTACTGGCACCTCATGGGCAGAGGCCAAGGGTGCTGCCCAACATCCTACAGTGCACAGGACAGCTTTCACCCCCAGAGACTGTTCTGCCCAAACTGTCAGTAGTGCTGAGGGTGAGAAACCATGGCTTAGCCTGCCGAGGTAGCAGATGAGGTCAAGAGCCGCATGGTGCTTCTTAACCGCAAACAAGGGATGGCTCCACAGTCCACAGAACCTCCTGAAGCAGGGTGTAAGATTCTGTGTGTATATTTTTCCTCAGGACAGAGACTCAAGCATTAGTCAAATTCTCTGAGGCCAGAGGACTCCAGAGTGGTGAGATGCAGCAGACTTCTCATTGGCCTTGGGCCTGAGGAGGGGTATGTGAGAGTCAGATGCCCGTGTCCGGCGGTGCCTGGGTGGATAAGTTAGTTAAGCGTCTGACACTTGATCTCAGTTTAGGTCTTGATCTCAAAAAAGAGGAAGCCCATTTCCACTGGCCCCCTGGGAACAACCACTGCTCCTAAGAGAAGGTGCCTGATACCCAGGATGGGTAGAGTTGAAAAACAGCAGTGTCAGTCTGAGGGGCCCAGGATAGGAGGGGGTTCTCTGGAACAGTCCCCAAACAGTGGGGCTGGTCTCTGGAGTTTTCCTCCCAGCCTTTTTGGTCAGATGGCTCGCTCACCATCAACTTCTCCTTGCTGGGCGCAGAGAACAGGGCCTCTTTTAGACATTCTTTCTTGGAAGATGGCACTTCTCCCTGTCCTTGTAGCATCATTCCGGCTCTTAGGGCACTCCTGGGGGCCCAGAAATTTCAGTGGAGTCCTAGCAGTTGTGAAGGTTTGGGAGGTAAATTTGGGAAAGCTTTTTGAGGGCCTAAGCAGAGCCATGAGACTAGGGATTCATTTGTAGTTGCGGGTGGGATTTAATACGGTGTAGTGACCTGTAGATCCCAATCAGTGTGAAGGGCTCCCTGTGCTATATTTAACATGGCAAATCTCTTAAGAAGTTGACCGTGTTGCCCAGGCACCATCTGGCCCAGTCCCCACATGGTTGGGCAGCTTTTGCCGGGTCCTGTTTGCAGAAACCATGTCTCCCCCGTCCCCCGGCTTGGGACCTTATCTCCCCGACCAGGCACAGCAAAGGCTCCTTGCTTTGCCGGGACCTCCCTGCAGCTTGCACAGCAGCACTGAGTCCTGCCCAAGTAGATTCTCTCCTTTTTCTCTGCTGTGTCTTCTCCCCTCCTCACTGCTTACCCTCATTCTTTTCCTTTCTTCAGTTCTAGAAAGGGCAGAGAAGTAGGAGTTGAGGGTAGTGACTCTCGATTCCACCGTTATTAGCACTAGATGTGTGACCTGGTGCAAGGCCCTCCACCTTCAGCTTTCCTCATCTAAGAAAAACGAGGTGGACAGTACCAGTCGAGGGAGGAGCAGCAGCACTGGTGACAGCGCCACATAGCAGGTGCCTTCCCTGAGGCAGGCCTCGATCCTGATAGCTGCTTCCCGTCTAACTCTCACAACAGCCCTGTGATGTAGACATCTGTTGGGGGTCCCTGGGATGACCCCCACACTCAGAGATTCACTAGAAGGGCTCGTGGGAGTCAGCATATATGTTTGCACGGCTTAGATTTAGTATGGCTGTAGTAACACAGGTAGAGTCGAGGAATCCATGTACAGGCTTCCTTATGGACCGTCCTCCCCATGAAGGGGGTCACACAGAGCGCAGTCATCCCCGAGCAGCAAGGTGCAACAACATGTGTGTAATTTTTCTGCCTAGGGATGCCTATTGGAGACTCTCCGCACCCTGGGTTTTTACTGGGGACTGATCACATAGTCACCTTCCAGAATTTCAGACTCCTAGAAGGAAAGCAGATATTCAACATAGATCATACAAATAGTTTAGGCATAGTTAGCGACCTTTATCATTTAGGGAACAGTGAGAATACTCCCGAAAACAGAGTTCCCAGATGCCAGGCCTTTCTAAGACTGGAGACTGAGGCCTGCAGTGGTAACACTTCTACATGGTGTCATTCTAATTGCATGAGTGAGGAAGCAGAGGCCCAAGGTCACAAACTGGGACTGGCACGGAGGTCTGATTCCCATGCCCGTCGCCTGCTGCCTGCTCCCTCTCAAATATGAGCACTGTCTTGCTCATATTCCCTCTTCCCATCCTGGGATATGGTTGGACATACAATGGCGAGTCCGTGGACCCTCGCACAGGAACGTGCAGCCATGGTAGTGACTGCCTTCACAGGTGTCAGGATCTACTTCGGACCCCAGAAATGCCCCCAGTAAACATGGAAGGGGTTTTCTCACAGGGCTTATGCTTTGCTTTTTGCTCTTTGGACAATCCTATCTTGTCACCAGGCCTGAGATCCTGAAGCACGAAATGAAGGTCTTCTTTGTGAAATACAATGACCCCATCTACGTGAAGCTGGAGAAGCTGGACATCATGATCCGTCTGGCCTCCCAGGCCAACATTGCCCAGGTCAGCAGAGGGCTGTAGCCAGGGCCATGAGCTTTGGTGTTGGACAGCAACACCACCACCAAGCTGTGGTCTCTGAGCGGCCTGACAGTTCATCTCGCGACGAGCACTTAGCACAGGGCTCTGTAAGCAAGCACTCAACAATCTTAACTGATATTTTTATGATTAAAGCCTTTGTTCTCCCTACTATTACTTATTATCCATCCACTGAAAAGTAGTAGTTAGGTAGCCGTGCTAGCTATCTCAGCCTAAACAGAGGTTGTCCAGTCCTGCCAACTAGTTCTTCCCTGCTTTCCTCTTGGGGCACCTGATAGCTCTCTCCTTCCCTTGGCCCTTCTTCCTCGAGCAGGAGGCAGAATCCCATCCTTCTAGGGGTCCGTGCATACCCATCGTCCCGGCATGTTGGTTACCCTGGGAGATCCACTCCTCCCCAAACCCATCTTCTCTGTTTGGGCCACAGGTCCTGGCGGAGCTGAAAGAGTATGCAACAGAGGTGGATGTGGACTTCGTACGGAAGGCTGTGCGAGCCATTGGGCGCTGTGCCATCAAGGTGGAGGTGAGGCTCTGGGACTCTGTCCTCTGTAGGGGGAGAGGGAGGGAAAGGAAGCTGAAACCAGGAAACCAGTCTGATTCTAGCAGAATATGCCAGCTACTCCTGGTTCAGGAAGGCCTGAGAGTCACTGCTGGAGGCCCTGAGGCACCCATTTTGCAGATCTGATTGGGTTCCTTTTCTCTCTTTAGGCCTTCAAGTTGTTGCAGATGAAAAAACCCACCTGTAACCATGGGTTCTCCTGCAGCCCCAGCTGCTGGTGGCCCTGATAGACTTAGCTTTCACTTCATGGGGTTTTGGAGCCGGGTTCTCTGCCTGTTGAACATTTTAGCAATAATCATGATTTAGCTGTCCATATGCCCTTTTGTCCAAGCTCCCAAGGCTATCCAGACCTCTGTGTCCTGGCATTTCATCCCTCCTATTCCCTGCCTATGGTGACATTCCTTGACCACTGAGCTGACTTTCTTTTAAGTTAGTCCATTGAGGACTGGGAGATCCTTGGACAGCTGGTCACCCCAGCCCAACCCCTTGAGGCATTTTCCCCTTATGATGGCATCCTGAGAATCTCTCCCACAAGGGCCATAGTGCAGCATACTGGAATAAGGGGTGGGGAGTGGTGGTCCAAGTAGAGACTTTCTGGTTTTGGTCATAGGGACCCATTTTGGGAAACTAGTAGAAGTGAGGTGGTGCTGGGCTGAAGCACAGTCACTGCCCTCAAGGCTTGGCCTGGAGGCACTTCAGATACCCTCCCCACTCTCAGGAGCTCTACTGGCCTTCTCGGTCTAATTCTGTCTCTCTGTGTCTCTGCCATCCCCAGGCTGTCCTTTTGTACTTATTCTCTCGCTTGTTATCTGGGGAGAGTGTTCTCTTGTTTTCCCTCTGTGGCAAGGAAGGGGGCAAGACATGACCGAGCCCTTGGCCAAAACATGGTCATCAGAAGTTCTTTTGGAAGTGGTTGCAAGGCCCTTGCCTACATTCCTCTTCCCACAGCAATCTGCAGAGCGCTGTGTGAGCACACTGCTCGATCTCATCCAGACCAAGGTCAACTACGTGGTCCAGGAAGCCATTGTGGTCATCAAGGACATCTTCCGCAAGTACCCCAACAAGTATGTGCCCATCCCTCCCAGTGTGAGGGTGATGTGGCTCTGCTGGGGACAGGCATGTGGGGGGAGGAAAAGCAACAAGGATCCTCTCCTTTTTCCTTATTTCTCTGCCACAAATGGCATTCTCAAAAGAAACCTATTGTTTTTTCTTATTTCTCTTGAGTCACCCCTCCTCCACTCCCCAAACTAAATAAGCACTAAAATGTAACAGATAAACTCAAATCCCATTACTCACCACCCTCTCAGGATCTTGTGGGGCAGCTTCCTGTCTGTCTCGGCCCCTGCTGGGCCTCTTCTGGGTTGCCTGGGCTCCTTCACTGCTCACATGCTGGCTGTGTGCTCGTCTCTTAGGTATGAGAGTGTGATCGCCACACTGTGTGAGAACCTGGACTCCCTGGATGAGCCTGAGGCCCGGGCCGCCATGATTTGGATTGTGGGCGAGTACGCCGAGCGAATTGACAATGCCGACGAGCTGCTGGAGAGCTTCCTGGAGGGCTTCCATGATGAGAGCACCCAGGTGAGCCACCAAGTGGGGCGACTTGGGTCAGGGTGTGGGTCGTGACTGGCAGCTTAGTACTGGTACAGTCCATCCCACCCTGGAACCCTATCCTCAGCCAGCAGGCCTCAGGCCCAGCGCTTCGTGATACAGCACTGACAGTGTGGACAGATAGTGGGGCTGACAGGGGTGGCTCCTTTTCCTCTCACCCTGCATTAGCTATGGGGGATTGTGGGGACAGTCTGTGATGGTGGACACTGAAAGCAGGCAGAAATTTCCAGCTTTCATTTCATATTTATCTTTGGATAAGTAAGACATTCAATTAGTTCAAAATTGAAAAAATACGAACAAGTATATGGTGAAACGTCTCCTTCCTACCAGTTTCCTGGTGACCCAGTTCCGCTCACAAAGATCATCAGTGTCATTTATTGGTTTCTTGGGGATACTTCCAGGGACGGTCTAAGAATACATTGAACTCATGGCCACCAGCGCTACAACTCACGCCTACACAAAGCTTCTCGAACACACTATTTTCTTCATAAGGCCCATCACCTCCTCTTGCTAATATTCGCTAGCCAGCACTTCAGCCTGACCCTTGTGGTGGGGGCTATCATTAACAGTGAATCATCAACAAAAAGCAGAACGTGAAAGATGTGGCAGGTAAATAGATTGTGAAGAGGACACTTGTTTATGGTATGACGGCAGAAGCAACAAGGCAGAGCATCACCTCCTTTGACCTCCGCTGGGAGTATGTACCTCAGGCAGCTTGAACTTTTCACTCTTCTGCACTTTGTTGTGAAAGATCACGAAAGCTCCCCAAACATTGACTTTGGGGTTACAAGTATGTTTTAGGAACTAGGCAAATTCCAAATACGGGCTCTGTGGATAATGAGGGTCCACCGTGTATATGTCGCCTCTTATTTATTTATTTATTTAGTTAGTTAGTTAGTTAGTTTTTTTTAAGTGGTCTCCACGGGTGGCATGGAACCCAGTGCAGGATTTGAACTTGTGACCCTGAAATTGAGACCTGAGCTGAGATCAAGAGTCAGACATTCAACCAACTGAGCTACCCAGTCATCCATCCCATCTCTTGAACTGTGGGGCATGTGGCTGGCTCTGTCAATATAGCATGTGACTTTGGATCTCGAGGCTGTGAGTTTGAGCCCATCATTAAATGTAGAGATTACTTAAAAATAAACACTACTGGGGCGCCTGGGTGGCTCAGTGGGTTAAGCCTCTGCCTTCGGCTCGGGTCATGATCCCAGAGTCCTGGGATCGAGCCCCGCATCGGGCTCTCTGCTCAGCGGGGAGCCTGCTTCCTCCTCTCTCTCTCTCTCTCTGCCTGCCTCTCTGCCTACTTGTGATCTCTGTCTGTCAAATAAATGAATAAAATCTTTAAAAAAAATAAAATAAAATAAAAATAAATAAACACTACTGGTAGCGCACTATACACATTCAAATTGTACAGCACCGTGCCTTTTTCCCTTAAGAATGTATCTGAAGGCGCTGTTGTTACTAACTGATGGGACTCTTCACGGCTGCATAGTACCATGTTTATTTAACCAGCCTCCCCTGATGGATATGTAGGTGTTAGTCTTCTGCTCTTTTAATCAATACTGCTATGAATAATCTATGTAGGGTGGATGTGTGAGTCTAGCTGGGGGATAAATTGTGAGATAAATTCTTTCTGGTGAAGGGGCCTATGCACTGGAGACGTGGAAAGAGGTTCCCCATTTCCTTTGGTGTAGGGACTGTTGTGGTTTATAGTCCAATCTCAGAGGTAGCATAGCCCTCCCCTTACCTCCTTGTCAACCTAATACGTTCACAGACTGTTTTTGCCAATCTGATGAACAACAAGATGTACCTTGGTTGGTTCTGTTTGCATTTCTGTTGAGTGGGCTTGAGCATCTTTTCATGTGTATTCCCTTTTCTGTGAACCAGGCACTGTCTGCTCATGCAAGAGAGCTTTTAAATGTGTTTGTAAGCACAGAATTCTTTGCTGCCCAACAGGGGAGTGTGATCTGTTGGGTCAGAGCATAAGCCTTGGAATAGGAGACCCCAGTCTCCAAACCCTTCTTCTGTCCCTTCTTGGCTCTGTGGTTGTACACTAATTCTCTCTTCTCTGAGCCTCAGTTTCCTTATTTATAAAATGAGGTTTATAAGACTGTGCCTGATCCTGTTGCTCTGAAAGTTATAAAGAATGCTTTGTGCAATGTCCTTAATGGGCGCCCAGGCCATGATAAGCACTTGTGAGTGGTAGTATTGGTGTTGATCAGAATTGGTTTAAGAGTAAACTGGTCCATGGGGCGCCTGGGTGGCTCAGTCATTAAGCGTCTGCCTTCAGCTCAGGTCGTGATCCTCGGGTCCTAGGATTGAGCCCTGCATCGAGCTCCTTGCTCAGTGGGGAGCCTGCTTCTTCCTCTCCCTCTGTAGCTCTCCCTGCTTATTCTGTCAAACAAATATGTTTTTAAAAAATAAAAAAAATAAATAAAAGTAAACTGGTCCAGGCAGCAAACCCCTGGGGACCTACTGCTTTCCTGTAGCTGGTAAGTTCCGGGAGTGTGTTCTCTTCCGGCATTCTTGGATGAGGATGCCCAGACGGCGGCAGCAGGGCTGTGTGTGTGTCCCCGGGGAGGTTTCTCCTTTAGGAAGACTCCTAGAATTAGGGCCTATTTGGGGTCAGTGGTTCCAGGCTATGACCTGTAACAGCATGGTGACTTCCTTAACTCTTTTCCCCCTGGTAGTTCCAGCAACGGTCCAGGCCTGTTTGCATTAGCCTGAGCCAATCGCCATGATTCCAATTGGCCAAGTTTATCAGACTCCTCTCCCAGTCTCCATCAGGCAGAGAGGAGGGTGATTCTCTGAAGGAGAGCCAGTATTTCTGTTAACCAGAAGACAGACGAGATGCTAGATGGGCAAAAACAACAGATGTCCATCACAGAATAATAGTCCTAACTCCTACCATCACCCACTCCCACTGCCACCTGCCAAGTCTGCTATTAGCCTGCCCTGGGCTGCTTTTACTTTCACCTTACTAGCCTCCTCACTTGCTTGTCTCTGAGAGAAGCAGAGCCTGACTTGGGATCCCTTCTGCCCCCCACCATCAAGTCCTGCCTGGGATTAGTGCAGAGGACGTCCTCTGGGGGGTGTTTCTGCGAAACTAAAGTAAATCTTTTGTAGCCCCTTCTCCATTGGGCAAAGTCTGCTGGAGAGCCCAGGCTTAGAGAAGTCAGCAAGGGAAGCTAGAGCAGGAGCCTGGGTTGGAGAAACGAATCTAATCTATGCTTCTCCCCTACCCCTACTTTGAGTGGCCTGGAGCAAGTTAAACTTGCCAAGCCAATTTCTTTTCCAGCGCAGGGTTGCTGCAGAGCTGATTGGATGCTGTGTATAGACTGGGCACTCCAGTGTGGCTGGGTGGTGGTGACGGCGCTTTTAATTAAGTGACCAGTTGCCTTCGCTTCCTGGGTTCACAACACCATTCAGAGTTTTTATAAGCATACTTGTTTAGTGCTTTGCAGTTTGGGAACTTATTTAATTTTTATATTTATTTATATTTTAGTTAAATTTTTAAAAATATTTTATTTATTTGACAGACAGAGATCACACATAGGCAGAGAGGCAGGCAGAGAGTGGTGGGGGAAGCAGGCTCCCTGCTGAGAAGAGGGCTCGATCCCAGGATCCTGACCTGAGCTGAGGACAGAGACTTTAACCCACTGAGCCACCCAGGTGCCCCTATTTTAGTTAATTTTTTGTATATGTTTATTATTATATTTATTGGGTGTGAAGCCAAACACGGGGCTTGAATTTACAACCTGGAGATCAAGACCTGAGCCAAGATCGAAAGTTGTACGCTCAACCAGCTGAGCCACACAGGCACCCCAGGGAGCTTATTTTAGATTGTCTCTTTGAGCCCCCTTGTCCTGGGCTCCTAGGCCTCTCCAACCATGGACAGGGAGCTCAGAAAGTCTTACCTGGGGTGGTATGTCAGTCCAGCCTGCGTCTTGCCCCTGTCTGGATGGCAGGGGCAGTGACATCATTGCAGGATGGTTGCCCTGAACATGCAGGCTGACATGTGGGGTGTCAGCATGTTAGTGAGGCTGGGAGGCCTCAGGCTAGTGGTCAGAGTTCCTAGGCAGTGTAGCAGACCTGACAGTGACGGATGATGCCAGGCGGCCAGCTGACCTGGGCTGAGGAGAACTCGGTAAAAATCCCTGCGTGCTGGCTGCAGTGATGTTGATGACCACGGTGACAGGTGTTGTGTATTGAACAAAGTGTATGATAGGTTATTTACATTCCTTATCTCATGGGCTCTTCCATCAATCCTGTCAGGAGTTTACACTAACATTATAGGTGAGGAAGCAGACTCAGAGAAGTTGTAGGACTTGTCCAGAGTCACATTCAAATGAAGTGTGATATAACTCTAGCTTCAAAGTGGTCATAAATTGTAGTTTTGTGAGCTCACAAGAACCCCCTGAAGCACGCCACCCTTCTCCCCACCAAATGAGGATAAATGGCTTCCCCTGGACTACCTGGCCAGGGGCTGTAGCCAGGTTCTAGAAGCCAGTCTCTGGGCTGCCTCCTACTTTGACAACTGCCAGCCCCACCGCTCCTCTACTGTTGGCCCATGTGTAACCAAACGACAAGGACTCTGGATTGCTTAATTCCAGAAATGGATCACATCTCCTCCATCCTGCCACCTGCTATTAGCCCATTCTGTGTACCCTCCATTTTGCCAACCACACCCGGAAGGTGCTGTCAGCCCTGTTCCCTCCCTCCTGCTGCAGGCCTGTCCCTGGCACAGCCCTGCCTCAGGAGCCTCAGGCTGCCCTCTTATCTCAGAACTGGCAGAAGTGAGATGTGGCTAAGGAAGGACTATGTGCAGAGAATTGTTCTTTCAAGAGATGTTTTTTGAGTTAGCAAGTTTTTCTTAAGTGCCTGCTGTGCACTGGACACTGATAGAGCAATAACCAGGGATACAACTGTGATAGGCATGATCTCTGTCCATAGGACAGGCTGGTGGCTGGAAAGCATTCTAATAGTGTGGGGGAGTGCTGATGAGGGAGTGCAGGAAGCTGCAGAAGCGTGGGGTTGCTGGGGCAGCATGAGCTCCAAAGGGTGAGAAGAGGTTGGCCAGGCTGAGGGCATGATCAGGTGAAGGCAGCAGCAGCAGGGTGAAAGCTGAGAGAGGGCTGGGCTGGGTTGGTTCTCACCTTCTGGTAGACGCCCTACTCCTTAATGACAGGCTGACTGTGGGTCCTCCTGGCCCAGTCTGTCAGTGGTACCATCTCTGCTTGTTGACAGATGGTCCCTTTAAGAAGCACACCAGCTAGGAGCGCCTGGGTGGCTCAGTGGGTTGGGCCTCTGCCTTCAGCTCAGGTCATGATCTCAGGGTCCTGGGATCGAGCCCGCATCGAGCTCTCTGCTCAGCAGGGAGCCTGCTTCCTTCTCTCTCTCTGCCTGCCTCCCTGTGTACTTGTGATCTCCCTCTCTGTCAAAAGAATAAATAAAATCTTAAAAAAGAATTCTAGCAGACTATTTCCCACACATATTATCCTTCTTTAAAAAAAAAACAAAAACAAAAAACAAAAACACCAGCTACACATGTTGCCTTTTTAAGGTACGAAATCCTTAAGGCACTGTGAGTCTGGGAGCCCTGACAGGTTCCTGGGACCCTAGGGTAGGGTTGCCAGATAGTAGTGGCCATCTCCTTCCTGAATGGTAATGCCAAGGTCCAGGCTATTCAGCACTACTGTGACAACCCCCTGGCCTTAGTCTGTGCTCTGTGGCCAACTCCAAACCTGAGAAAGCTGCTTTCAGCTTCCAGGGCCTTTGAAAAATACCCTTCTCCATCTGTGAGGTCCTCATTTGGTTTCCTTCCATCCCCACATGAAGCCCTCGCTACTTATTCCTTGTCACCTTTCTGTCTTCCCACAGGTTCAGCTACAGCTACTAACAGCCATCGTGAAACTCTTTCTGAAGAAGCCGACAGAGACCCAGGAGCTGGTGCAGCAGGTCCTCAGCTTGGCCACTCAGGTCAGTGCCCCAGCCTTTCTGCTGCGCCCAGTGCAGGTCTCACTCCACAGGGGGTGCTGTGGTCTAAGGAGCCAGCCAGACCTTCGTGCCAGGGTTCTTCCCCTGAGGCTGGCATCACTAGAGGGGTTGGCCCTAGAGTAATCCAGGACCCCTGCTCAGGGAGCTCAGTCACAGGTAAATCAAGATGGAGTGGGTCAGGTGAGGAAGTCGAGACAGACTGTAAACAAAAGAGGGGAGGGAGGTCCAGAAGAACCAGAGGGTTTGTAGGACAGGGAAGACAGATTTTGGAGTGGAGCGAAGAGTGGGGACAGGAGTGGGAATCCCCTGTTTAACACTGGGCTAGGGGAGGAAATCGAGGGGCCAGGCCATGTTTAGGGACAGGTTAATGGGACTGCTTAGGATCAGTGTTCAGCGCTGTGACCATGCCCAGGTCATGGGATTTGGGGAGGAGCTCCTTCCTTCCCAGCTGGTTGCTCTGCTATGAATTTAATATGCTTCTTGTCACCTCCCCACTGCTTAAGGACTCTGATAACCCAGACTTGCGGGACCGTGGCTACATCTATTGGCGTCTGCTCTCCACGGACCCAGTGGCTGCCAAGGAGGTGGTGTTGGCTGAGAAGCCACTCATCTCTGAAGAGACGGACCTCATTGAGCCCACATTGCTGGACGAGCTCATCTGCTACATTGGCACCCTGGCCTCCGTCTACCATAAGCCTCCCAGCGCCTTTGTGGAGGGGGGCCGGGGCGTTGTGCACAAGAGCCTGCCACCACGCACTGCCTCGTGAGTGAAGTTGGCCAGTCTCTAGGCTGAGCCTCCCTACCTGGTTTTCCGGTTCATTAGCCTAGGCATTCAGGCCTATTGTGGTAACCCTGGCCAGGCCTGAGTCTGAGGGAAATTACCATTATAGTGACATTTTTATTTTTATTTTTTAAAGATTTTATTTATTTATTTGACAGAGATTACAAATAGGCAGAGAGGCAGATGAGGGGTGGGGGAGAAGCAGGCTCCCTGCTGAGCAGAGAACCCGATGTGGGGCTCGATCCCAGGACCCTGAGATCATGACCTAAGCTGAAGGCAGAGGCTTAACACACTGAGCCACACAGGCAGCCCAAGTGACTTTTTTTAGAGATAGAGCATGTGAGCCAGGGGAGGGGCAGAGGGAAAGAGAATCTCAAGCTGACTTCACACAGCGTGGAGCTTGATCCCATGACCTGAGATCATGATCTGAGCTAAAAACAAGGGTCAGACGCTTAACCTACTGAGCCACCCAGACGCCCCCATCCTAATGACTTTTTAATGGATGTTTACCACAGAGGCACCTGAGTGGCTCAGTCATTAAGTGTCTGCCTTCAGCTCAGTCATGATCCCAGGGTTCTGAGATCCAGCCCCTCATTGGACTGTCTACTTGGCGGGAAGCCTGCTTCTCCCTCTTCTACCCCCCTGCTTGTGTTCCCTCTCTCGCTATGTCTCTCTTTGTCAAATAAAGAAATAAAATCTTTAAAAAAAAAAAAAAAAAGAAAAGAAAAAATGTTTACTACATACAGGGTGACCTCATTTGATCTTTACAACAGCTCAAAGAGGTATCCCCATTTAACAGAAGAGGACAATAGGACAGAGAGCTTGAGGGTCTGGTGTGGCATCCCACAGCCAGCACAGCTAGTCTCAGACTTGAATCTAATTCCAGAGCCCTGTTCTTCTCACCCTCCTCTGCCACCCCCTGGTGGTTGGTTTGGCCTGCATACCCAGTCCTCCAGGGCGGGCATCCAGTCTTTAGAGTGCACTGAGTGGTGGAAATAGACAGCCCCTCCCTTCACTCACCCCCATGATGCTGGATCTCTTGGAGAGCCAAAAAGATCGATCAGGCGTGGGAAGGGGGAAGAGGAGGGGCCGTGTAGACAGCCCTTCTGGAACAGTGTGGAGATCCAGGTGCCTGTGCTGGGGGAGGATCCTGGAGACTGAGGACTCTGACCTCCCTGAAACAGCCCAGCGCCCAACCCACTGACCCTCTCCCTCCTATGTCCTCACAGGAGTGAGAGCACCGAGAGCCCTGAGACTGCCCCTGCCGGAGCACCCTCTGGTGAACAGCCGGATGTCATCCCCACCCAGGGCGACCTGTTGGGTGACCTCCTCAACTTGGACCTCGGCCCCCCAGTAGGTGGCCCACCTCTGGCCACCTCCTCAGTGCAGATGGGAGCCGTAGACCTTCTTGGTGGAGGCCTCGACAGCTTGGTATGTCCTGGGGCCCTCTGTGGATAACATTAATAATGACCTTCAGAGGAATAGTCAGTGTGCGCCCAGTCTGTGCCATTCACCAACCGAGGGCCTCAGGGTACACCTGTCTGCGAAGGTTACTGTGTCACTCCCTACTTAGAGGGGAGAAAACTGAGGCTTCAAGAGTTCAAGTGACCTTTCCTCTAGGAGTGCACAATATGTTGCAGACACGGGACTTAGTCGCTTGCCGGGCCACTATATCTGGAGCCTGTAGGGCTAGAGGAGCCACAGCAGTGTCCACTTACTCCCACACCCTCCACCAGCTTGGTGCAACAGCCCAGGAGGCCTGAGAGGCCCAGGGCGGGTCAGGGATAGTCCCTCCTCCCCTGTAGAAAGGGGGTGGTAAGACTGGACTGGTTATCTCCCCGGGACTTGTTCAGGCAGCAGGTAGAGCCAGGAGGAGGGGTAGCAGAGCCCCTGTCACTTGGCCATGTCTGGCTCAGGTCCCCGAGGCATGACACAGGAAAGGGTAGGAAGGGCCATGGCATAAGACGTGGGTGGTGGAGTGAAGCCCTGAAAGCAGTGCCCTTCATAAAGATAGTCTGGGCCCCCCTTAAGCCTGGCACAGTCTTGCCCCAGACTCCTCTCGGGAACAGCAGTGACTAATCTATTCCCTCTTTCCCTCTCTCTCTTGTCTCTGTCTTCTTTCCTGGCTTTTCTCTCTGCATGTGGCTGCCTGTTCTCTTCACCCTGCCTGCTTCTGCTTGGAGATGGGGGATGAGCCTGAAGGGGTATGGTTCAACCCTTGCGCCACCAAGCCTTTGTCTCTGCTCTTCCTGAGTGCTGGCCCAGCATCCCAAGGGGTGGATGATGTCAAAGCTGTCCTCCCTGCTGAGCTGTGGCCTTGTATCGAATGTCCCGTCTCAGTACCCTGAGACAAAGTTTCCTTGTCATCCCGAGGATCACCGGCTCTCTCAGTTTCCCCGGGCCCTCTGTGACAACCTAAAGGGTGTGGTCCTGTCAGCTTAGCACAGCCTCACCACAGAGTACTCCTTTTATCCGTGGGCTGCAGGTTAGTTTACACACGTCCCAGCCCTTTCCCAAGGTCACTCACCCCTAAAGCTGGAGGCTTGCAGGTCATGGAGGGCACAGTGTTTGTTTCTTCTCCACCCCCTCACCCTGTCTTGTCTCTGCAACTTAGAGCTGGTGTGACAACAGCCCTGCAGCCCCCCTCCTGCCCCATCCCATTTTCTAAAGTGCCAGGTTGTTCCACTCATGCCGGGCCCTTGAGGTCCCCACTTCTAATGCCTGCCTCTGACCCCTTTCCCTTCCCTTCCAGATTGGGGGCCCCAATTTTGTGGCACCCCCAGCAGCAGCAGTCCCACCAAACCTAGGAACATCCATGGGCAGTGGTCTGAGTGACCTCTTCGACTTGACCAGTGGCGTGGGCACGCTGTCGGGATCGTATGTGGCCCCCAAAGCAGTAAGTACTGTATCTCCTTCCATGGCAGGAGCAGAGGGAAGTTAGATACTGACTGATGTTCTTTAAATGGCCTGTTCTGTGGAATCAGCTCAGGCCAACAGGGATGGGTGCCAGGGTCTGTGGGAGCACAGGGAAGAAATGCTAGGCCGGCCCTGGGGGCCTGGGAAGACCTCCCGGGCAGGGCTACTGCAGCTCAGGCCTGTAAATCAAGTCAGAATTAGGTGAAAGTGGAGAGAAGGCTCCAGGTAGCTGTCACAGCCTGTGGTCAGGCCTGGAGCGGAGGGAGAGCCCGCACCTCACAGAGAACTGGCAGAGGTCCCATCTAGTTGGAGCAGCAGTTCTCAGGGCTGTCTCCCACCTGGTGCCCCTTTCTGATGACAGATGTTGTCTAAGGTGTCCTTTATTTCCTGTGCTCAAAGGTGTCTGGACTACAGCCTACCTATACATGTCACTTCAAAATTAGTAAGATGCTAACACTTCTTTTTTTTTTTTTTTTTTTTAATTTAAAGATCTTATTTATTTGACAGAGATCACAAGTAGGCAGAGGCAGGCAGAGAGAGAGGAAGGGAAGCAGGCTCCCCGCTGAGCAGAGAGCCCAACTCAGGACTCGGTCCCGGGACCCCAAGATCATGATCTGAGCCGAAGGCAGAGGCCCAACCCCCTGAGCCACCTAGGCGCCCCAAGATGCTAGGACCTCTTAAAGGAGACAGAAAGGGAAGAGAATAAAATGATATATTTCCATATCGTAAAGGCTTTGGAAGATCTGATGAAGCTGTCAGGTGTTGGTGGCTGTGTAGAGTCACCACGACGGCCACAGGTAGTGTTTGTAACTCAGGTGCTGTGGACCATGTGGTTAGTGGTATCCTTAGTTCCTGAAATGGTGACTGACTCCCAGTAAAGTCCCCGTAAAACAAAAAACAGGCTTTCTTTGATTTTCACTGTAATTGGGTTCCCAGCAATTTCAGGATATGTTGAAACCATGCAAAACATACTGCAGGGATGCAGGACAGTTGCTCATTGAGGGTACAGTTGTCCTCCCAACAGTATGTCCAGCATCCCTGACCAGCCTTTGTGCCATCTGCAGATGCCCCGTAGATGCCCACCGTGCTACTAAGGCCTGGTACTCCCCAGGACTCCCACCTAGACTAGCAATTAGGGAGGGAAGAAGCTGGCAAGGTCCACATTGCCAGGCCGTGAGGGTCTCTCTCAGTCCTGGTGCAGTAGAGCCGTTAGAAGGTTTTAAGCAGAGATGAAATGTATTTACACTGGAGGGAGATTGCTTTGGCTACACTGTGGCAGGCAGGTTGGCAGGGCTAGGACAGAAGGCGCCCAGTGAGGAGACCGGCAGGAACTGCTGTGTGCTCATGGTGCCTAGACAAGGGCAGCTTTGAAGGCAGAGGCAAAAGGCTGCCCTGGAGAGCTCCTCAGGAGGTGGGACTGGCAGGATGTGGGGCCTGGCGGGGAGGGAAGGATGCTGGCTCCAGCAGTGGGATGAGGGAGGTGCTGTTTGCAGAGCTGGGGGCGAGAGAGAGGAAGGAGTGCCGGGTTTGCAAGGCAGGAACACGTGGGCCTGGCTCTGAGGACAGCGAGGTGTGGGCCACACCCTCAGCATCAAGGAAGCTGCCAGGGGGTTCAGACCTGACCTTGACCCCCTCACAACGCTCAGGGCAGGCCCTGTGTCTGCCACTTTGTTCCAGCCAGAGCCCCTCTCTCTCTTCCAAGGTCCCCTCCCAAGACCAGGACCCAGCTGGGCTTTAGGGGTGAGGTGAGCTCTCGGTTGTGCCTGGGGAGCTGTGAGCCAGTGCCTGCTTTGACCTCACCAGCCGTGCCTGCAGTGGTGGTGGCCAGAGCCCCCAGTAGAGAGCAGGTTTAGTGCAGGCCCGTGGCACAGCCCCCACCCCGCCGAATCCCGCCAGAAGCCTTATGGCACTGTACTTCGTGTTTCACAGAGGACAAATCTCAGTGCTTTTGCCTAAGGTCACATAGCAGCTAAGCCACAGTCTGAAACTGAATGCATGGTGCTTGCACCAAAGTCCCCGTTCCTGATCTTGATATGGTCATGCCCCACAGTGTTTGAGAACGTCCTATGTGCCTTAGTGTCCTAGGCTGTCAGAATAACTAATTACTGTCCAGAGTAGCTACTTCAGTGCGTGAGGCCAGGACATACGTGTTAAAAGCCCAATGTAGGGGCGCCTGAGTGGCTCAGTCGTTGAGCTTCTGTCTTTGGCTCAGGTTATGACCTTAGTGTCCTGGGCTGGAGCTCCACGTCGGACTCCCTGCTCAGCAGGAAGCCTCTTCAGCTCCCCCTGCTTGTGTTCCCTCTCTAGTTGTCTCTCTTTGTCAAATAAATAAATAAAATCTTTAAAAAAAAAAAAAAAAAGCCCAATGTAACGGGCATAAGGCAGGATCAAATGACAGAAGAGCAGCAAAGAATCCTGCAATCCTGTGGGTGCCAGGCCTTGCCAGGACTGCTGAGCTGCCAGAAATGTAAAGTCGGGAGCTGGCTCTCTGCGTGTGTGTTCATTTTAATGGATGGTATCACTGCTTTTTCTTAGTGGAGGCCCAGATGGGTGGACCAACAGTGAGTGCTGGAAAGGAGATGTTAGGGAATCACTCCGTCAGAGGAATTTAGGACAAGCTTCCTGGAAGAGGAGTCCTTACAACAAAGGACTTTTCCCATTATCTTAGACACAGGAGTCTCTGGGGTCTGGATGTGTTCTTCCTTCAGAAGCAGCAGGTGTGTCATCTGTGTTTTCCTAACAGCCATGTGACTGCCTAGAATGGTTTGTCCTATGGGCATTCTCCCTGCCACAACTGTGGGGGTAAATACGTTCTACAGTAACTTTCCCAGTCAAGGGAATGAGGCTTTCTCTGCAGAAGAACTTGGGAGTTCCTGAAGTATCTGGACGAGTGGATGGTGATGTTTCCTTGGGTCCTTCAGCAAATAGTGAGAATTAGTTTAGTTTAATTTAGATTAAATTAAACTAAGTCTAAACTAATTAGTCTAAACTAATTTAGACTAATTTAGATTAGTTCTGTCATAGCACCTGTGCTAGATTCCGTGAAGCCACAGTGACCAAGAGAAATGCGGTCCCCACAGGCAGCAGCCGGTCCCAGGTGACAGAGGCAGTTCTGCAAGAGCTGTGAAAGGTGGCCTGCTAGAGGTTGGGGCCCCGGGAAGCTGCTCTGGGGGCCTGGGCAGGGCTCAGAGCTCTCTGCTTGCCTGTCTCAGCTGAGGCTGAAGCCCTGTGATTCTGCCCTCACACCTTTGTCCTGGGGAAACAAAAGATGATTATGTTAGCGAGTGTGGTGGGGGTGGGCATGCTAAAGCACTTTCCAGACTGGAGGGGTTGGGGGGGACAGAGGCAGAGGAGCAGGTTCAGTCGATCCCTGGCAGAGGGGGGCCCCGGGACATGGAGGCCATGGGCAGTGGAAGTGCTGCAGCGTTGGAGGGGTTTTTGCCATAATCAGATTCGCATCTTTTTAAAGTTCTATTTATTTAAGTAATCTCTCTGCCCCCTTGTGGGGCTCAAACTTATGACCCCAAGCTCAAGAGTCAGCCAGGTGCCTCCAGATTCGCACTTTAGAAGATGATTCAGGTGCTGCAGAGAGTGGGGAGGGATTGAGGTACCGCAGGGGCTGCTGTCTTACCTGGTGGACTCTGACTGTGGTTCAGATGCACGTGCTGCCTGCTGAGGGGAGCAGAGGCCTTGGCTGCAGATGGAGGAGGTAGTGGTGACAGGGTCCCGGCTGCAGGGACCGTGGTGTGGGGCTTGGGGTCGGCTGAGGGTGGGGATCCAGATGGCATTGAGGTTCCTGGTGGTGGCACCTTGAGAGACGGTGAGATGTTCACACAGCACACCTTGGGGCAGTTCTTGAGGAGGCCTGGGTCTTTTGACCTTGGGGCTGGGCAGGGGGTGTGGGGACGCTGAGAATAGGGTCCTCAAAGGCATTTGTACCACTCTGGATGACGCCTGCAGATGTCCTTCCTGGTTGGGGCTTTAATTCAAGCTGTTTTACCCTGTAAATGCTGCCTGAATGCCAATGGCCCAGCAAGCTGTAAGCCAAGGACGTGAAAAAGAAAAGCAGAGCCCTTTCCTCAAAGAGCTGGCTGGGTCCAGGTGAGACAGACACACAGGGTTGCATTCGTCTGCTAACATGTCCTGGTAGCGTGGAGGTAGGGAAGGAGCTAGGTGCGGGCTTCCCAAAGGCGGCGGCTCTTGAGCTCACACTCCTATGACAGCCACGCAGCAGAGGGCCTGCCAGGAGAGAGGTCCTCTTAGGTACTGTCCTTGGTCAGCCCAGTTTCTACAATTAAAAGGCCAGCCTTGCCTCCTGTGAGGAAGGACAGCCTGTGACAGCCAGGGAGGCCTCGAGCTCTGGCTGAGGCCCCGGATGCCCTTAGGCTCTTTTTCACTCTGCTCGGCTCTTCAGGAGGCTGGCAGGGCCCACTTTTCTCTTTGCCTCTCTCAGCCTCCTTACTGAGTGTTCCTTCTTGGACCTCTGAAGACTCAGGTCAGCCCTTGGGCACACCAAGCACCAGTCTACCCCACGCTGCTCTGATACACAGCCACGCTGTCGTGTGTGGTCAATCTGCAAGGCCCCTAAGGGAGAGGGAGAGACCGTAAAGGAGAGGAGTCGAGTGGGGGGGTGGGTAGCCTCAGGTGGGCTGTTAACTTTTAGGGAAGTGGCAAACTTGAGCCTCCTGTCTACTCCCTTGCCTGTAGGTGTGGCTCCCAGCCATGAAGGCCAAGGGGTTGGAGATTTCAGGTACTTTCACCCGCCAGGTGGGTTCCATCTCCATGGACCTGCAGCTGACCAACAAGGCATTACAGGTCATGACCGACTTTGCCATCCAGTTCAACCGCAACAGGTACGTTCCCAAGGCCAGTGTGAAAAGAGCCCTTGCTGGTGATTGCAGGCAGGGGTCGAGAGCTCTGAGGGATCTGGTGCCTCATGGGTGCATCGCGGCCCAAACTCTCTAAAGCAATGACTTTTTTCCCTTCCCCACGACCTCTTTATGTGGACCCCCAAAGTACCAGGCAGAGGGTCGTCTCCCCTTATTTTTGCCTTCTTCCACTGCTCAAAGAGTGTTTGCTGACGAAAACCCCCAGCTCCAGACCAGGAGCCCACCTTTAGCAAACACTCCACATGACGGGATGGAGCCCCCTCTCCAGGCCTAAGTCGCTGCCACCACAGGGCCCAGCTGTAAGAAGGCTGACGGGGAGCGAACCTGCCTCCCAGCCAGCACCTTGTGGCACAGGTTTAAACCATCAGACGGGGCCTCTGGGAGTGGTGGCTGCACCGGGCCCCTCACCCAACGAGGTCCCCTGTACTGGAGGTCCTGGGGAAGGTTTCCTCTCTGGCACCATTGGGGTCTTCATGGACCAGGCCAGCTAGGCTAGGGCTCTCCTGGGGACCCAAGCAGCCTCTCCTGATGATTCTTCTTCCTGAGCGGCTCTAGTGATGAGCAAACTGAGCCTCTAAGAAGTTGACTGAAGGGGCAGCTTCCTCAGGGAGAGCCCGTGGGCCCTCTCTCAGCTCAGATGGCCCTAGAGTTCAAAGAATCACTCCAGATTCCAAGGGAAAGTCTCAACGATTGCTCACAACAGACTCACAGCGTGCTGACAATGCCCTGGGTGGCAGGCCTATGCGAGGACTTTAGAAGTATTATCTTACTTTGAGCTACTGGACAGCCCAGTGAGGTCAATGCCATTGTCCCCTTTTCAGTAAATAATGACACTTGGGCTCAGAGAGGACCAGTGCCTTGTGCAGAATGACACAGCAGGCTGTGGGGGATCTTCCAGGAAAGCCTGAAGAGTGGGCCACCACAGAGGCCTGGGGTTCCCCCCATCGTCTCCCAAAGTATCCCAGGCAGGTCTGATTGCCGTCGTGGGTGGAGAGCAGGCAAGGTCAGGCAGGTTAAGCTCTGGATCTCAGCAGTGCTACTTAGCCCATAGTATCTGAGCACAGGCTTCGCCCTCCCTGAGTTTCCATGTCTTGGAAGATGAGAGAATGTACATCTCTCACTGTTTTTATGAGAGTAGGAGTTGGTATATCAAATGCCCGGCCTGGGCACAGTGAGCTGTCACTGCGTGGTCCCATGTCTCACACTCCTGGGGATCCTCCCCGCCTCATTTACCTATGTGTTGCTTTGCTAAGAAGTAGAACTTTCCTGAATCTCTCTCTGGCTAGTTCTAGCCCTGACAGTAAAACCTGGTGTCTTGCTTGGGATGGTCACATCCTTCTTGGAAGGTGGGGATTGGTAGCAGAAACTTGGGCAGTCAGAGTCTTCAGTCAGAAGCAGCTTATAGTTCAGGCCTCTGGTGTTAGGTGGAACTCCTCAAGTGCAGGACAGAGCAAGGCCATGTTCACCTGGGCCTGCTCCACACGTAGCCCAGAAAAAGTGGAGCCCACTTGGGAGTTAAGCCTGCAGCTGGCCCAGGGCTCATTCCTCCTGTCCACACAGCCATTGAGAGGGGGGCCATGAACATGAACTCTCCCAGGCCCAGAGCTGAGGTGAAACCAGCTTACTGGACAGGCTTCTTGCCACCCACTGCCCTAGCTCTGGAGCCTGAGGAGCCCGCCCGTCCCACGTCAGCACCTGTTCCCCCTGCCATTCCTGCGGGGGCTTCTCTCTCCCCAGCTTCGGCCTGGCCCCTGCTGCCCCCCTCCAGGTCCACGCACCACTCAGCCCCAACCAGACTGTGGAGATATCCCTGCCTCTCAACACGGTGGGCTCGGTCATGAAGATGGAGCCTCTGAACAACCTCCAGGTGTGTTCCAGGCGGGGCTAAGCACCCCACTCCTTACCTGCCCACCTACCACAGGGGCCTGGTGGAGAGGTCTGGGGCTTCTCCTTTGTTGGCTAAGGGGTGTGTCTGTGGAGTTGTGCTCTTTGCCAAAGATCTGGCAAGGGAGACCTGATCCGAGGGGACGAAGGGGCATGGTTACCAGGGAAGGTGTGTGAGGGGACCTGGTCAGGTGGAGGCACAGGGAGCAGGCCCTTCCTGGGGCCTCAGAGGTCGTATCAAGCACATGGGACCAATCAGTGGCCTTGTTCCTAGGTGGCTGTGAAGAACAACATTGACGTCTTCTACTTCAGCACTTTGTATCCACTGCACATCCTCTTTGTGGAGGATGGGAAGATGGGTGAGTCCTGAGGGTGCCCCGAGAGTCCCCGGAATATATGATTGGCTTGGCCCCACAATGGAGTCTGTGAGTTGCCGGCCCCTCTGCAGAGCCTGAGGTGAGGGTCACCCCTCCATCAAGGACCACTGAGTGTTGTCTGGCCAGCTCTTTCCCTCAGTGGGGGCCATGCTATGCAGGAGTTGTCTCCTGAGTTCTGCTCTGCCCGCCCCTCAGCTTTGCCTGTGGTCTCTAGACAGGCCTCCCATGGACTCCTGAGTTGTAGAGCCCAGACCATGTCACACTGGATGTCCATCTCCTGTGCCCTGACTGGAACCCCTAAGAAGACTCATCCCCATGCCAGGAGGGCTCACTGCCAGCTCAGAGCTGAGCAGAGGACTTTGCCCACGTCATCTCTCGGTCACCACAGAAGCCCTGTGACACAGGCTATGATTAACGAGCAGGCTGTTTGGGGCCAGAGCAGGAGGGAGTGCATGTGTGGGTGCTGGGAAGGAGAGATTTAAGGCTCAAGGGGGAGGGGGAAGCCCAGGGTCTTTTGGGAGCAGCACTGGTGGCCACTGTCACAGAGCTAAAGGTTTGTTCAGGGAAGCAGGAGGGGGCTGTGGCAGAGCTCGTGCCTGTCTTCAGCTTCAAGTTTGTGCCCCCGAAAAACCCATTCCCTGCTGGGTGTTATTGAGTGGGGCCCCAGGTTTATCAGGGTTCCATCTTCTACCTTGTCCCCAACCCCCAGACCGGCAGATGTTCCTGGCCACGTGGAAGGACATTCCCAATGAAAATGAAGCCCAGTTCCAGATCAGAGACTGCCCCCTCAATGCGGGTAGGACTTCTCAGCCCTCCCCCGCCTTCCCGCCCCATCCATACTGCCCCTTACCTATACCCCCAGCCCTCCCCCACCACTGACTGGGGGCCCCTTTCTCACTCTCAGAGGCTGTGAGCAGCAGGCTACAGAGCAGCAACATCTTTACGGTCGCCAAGAGGAATGTGGAGGGCCAGGACATGCTCTACCAGTCCCTGAAGCTGACCAACGGCATCTGGGTGCTGGCGGAGCTGCGCATCCAGCCGGGCAATCCCAGCTTCACGGTGAGGGTCCCTGCTCCTGCCCTGCCAGCCCTGGGGTGTCTACCTCCATGTTCCAGGCAGCCTCTCCTCCCGCTCCTTCCCAGACCAGGGGTCAGTCTGAGAAGGTGTGCTCTAGCCCAGCTAGGCTGGGGTCCCTCTGAACGTGACATGAATGAGCCTCAGAATTCTGACCCTAGCTTCCAACTCAGTCCCGTCAGATTACTAGATAAGACACTAAACTGTGTCACCAGTGATTTGGTCTTGAAGATTCTATACAGTTGGGCCCCTTGAGAGGGCACAGTTGGCCTCAGGCCCACATGACTAGGAAATGGCACTGCTGGGCCCAGGTGCTGGCCCTCCTCCCACTCTTCCCTGCCCAAGGGCCCACCTGGGAGGGCACTGATCGTGAGCAACTTGCCCTTCTTGGGCTTCATGTCAGACCCCAGTCAGGACATGGCTTCCACGGAGTGTGTGGTTGCCCTGAAGGCCATGCTGCAGTTCCAGGCCCCAGAGAGCTCCAGGCTTTGCTTCTCACCCTGTGCCCCCGTCTCTGGCAGGCATGGCCCTGCAGATATGGCTCCCCGGGCCCCGCTGGCAGTGCTGGCACTATGGTTGGGCGGGGGCTGCAGCAGTAGCTTCGGTGGTGGTAATTTCCATCTCCCTGTGTTTGGTCGCTGCATGCCCACCTTCCCTGCTGGCGCCCGTGTTGCAGGACTTGGAGGTTAGCAGACTGCTTTTCTCTTCCTCTTTCCCCTCCATTCTCCTCAGCCACACCTCGCACAGCCTGTCTCCTGGCCTGGCTCCAGTGCACCCTGCCTCTCCTAGCCTCGCCTCACCCTGCTGCTCCCCAAAGCCGGGCAGACGTGCATGCAGGCGCGGGGCACCCCAAAGCTTCCCAACCAGGTGAACCCGACTGAGGAGCTGGTACCCCCACTTCCCAGCACGCAGAGCGTGTACAGAGCCCTGCAGAGAAGATCGGGGCCCCACGGGGCCACCACTGCTGGCTTCCAGAGCTCCGTTTGCTCCCCCCTTCCTCGTCGCACCCTTCAGTGGCAGCAACTTTGGCAGAAGTGCTGGTGGCACTTGCTTCTCTTCTGCCTACTCTCCAGCTCCCACAGTGGCGGAGCTGCCTGTGCTGGAGCCCAGGAAGACTCCCCAGCGACGCCCCCCCCCCCCCCCACCGACACTATCTCTCCAAATGGAAACCTCCTTTGCAGCCCTCACACCTCATCGGAGACCCCAGCCCTTCACGGGCAGTGACGGCCCCCAGCAGCTCTGTGGGGCAGGGTCCGGGTCCTCCCCGCCAGCCACCAGCTCATGATTCACTCTGCTTGGGCCACAGTGGCTGGGCTGACAGCAGGTGTGTGGGCTGCACGTATATTTGGTCCGCACCCAGCTGGCTGCTGCAGCCGCCCCCTCTGCTCCCTCCGCTTTACTACACATCTGCCCCAGCCGTGCTGCCACCAGGCCACGTGTGCACACCACACTCTTCCATCTGGCTCTCCTGCTCTTCTCCCTCCCTGTGTTCCCTCCCAGCCCCCGAGAGGATCCTGGGGAATTCTGAGCTCTGTCCATCCCCTGACCTCTCTCTCCCCCCTGCAGCTGTCCCTGAAATGTCGAGCACCAGAGGTGTCCCAACACGTGTACCAGGCCTACGAGACCATCCTCAAGAACTGAGGCCCCAACCAGTGCCCACCCCGGCCTTCTGCCAGCCCCAACAAGGAGCCCCCTGGGAGTGGCAGCACCTCCTTCCTGGAGACACTGAGCAAGGCTCTTGGACACCACGGAGTTCCCTGGTCCTGACTGCCGGGCCCACCTGGGTCCTCAGGGCAGGTTAGCATTCCTCCTGGAGTGAAATCTCAGTGTACCCCTGTGCCTGGGGACTCCCCTCTTCCGTTGCTGCTGACAGTTAGGGTCAGGTGAGGAGGGGACCAAAGGAAACAGAGCCAGAGAGGCCACAGAAGCTGATCAGGCAGACCCAGGGTTTTCTCTTCCTTTTCCTGACCAGTTCCTGAAGGGCGAGTGTGTGGCTCCCTCTTCGGGCTCCTGGCCTGGGAAGCCCCTGCCCCTGAGTCTCTCTTGGGTCAGTGTTAGAGGGCCTCCCCATTATCTGCTCTCAGGCCAGGCTGTCCTGGTGTATGGAGGGTCCTTTGGTGTGCCCAGAGAGCTCCTCTGTCAGGGGTCTGGGGCTCCCGGGGCCTACACCTCTACCTTCCCTCTCTGCATCCACCCAGGTGGGGCCCCCCCGGTTGTGCCCATCGGGCCTCAGCCTTCTGAGCACTGACCCACACGGGCAAGACTGGGCAGAAACGCCCGAAGCCCCGGCCCAGGCTCCTGCCCCCCAGCAGTTGCACACATCAACTCACCCCACTCCTTTTCTTGCCCCTGAGGACGGTGACTGCCTACAGTATAGTCCTTGGCGTCCCCTGTGTTTCTGGAGCAGAGACAGGACTGAGGGATGGGGCACATGGGCGAGCAGGGTGCTTCCCATCTGGGGTTTCTTTGGGGTTTCTCCTTAGTGTCTGCTGCCCTCCCCCTGGCCTCCCAGATTTCCGTTGTGTCTGACAGAGCATTAGGTTTTCCTGTACTGCTGTTTAATAATAAAGAAAGATTCTGCTTTTGGCAATCACGGACACTTTTTTCCCCCTCCACTAATTGTCAGAATTGAAAATTGCCTCCCAGTGGTTGAGGATGGCTTTCTGAGCCCTGCAGTAACTAATATTCATAGTATATATACATACACATACATATATGTAGATACGTATACTACAGTATACATAATATACATACACATATATATAATGTATGTTTATTCTTATTTTCAAAAAGAGAAAATGAATAAAAATGATGACATCAAGTGTGTCCCTGGCCAGTGTGTCAGGTCCTGAGGCTCTTGTGGGTGGGGTCCTGGGTCCAGGATCAAGGGCTTGAACTGTGTGCCTGGCCCCTCCCCTGGCACTCTGAGGACAGGGCCTTTCCCTCTACCCTGTCCTTAAAAATGGATGTCTGAGGCCTGCTGATCTCCCTGGCACCGCTCCTGCCCTTGATCGTAACTCCACCCAGCCCTCTTGCCTTTTGATGTTGGCTGGAGGGCTGTCTTCTGTTTTGGTTTTCCTCCTCTCCCTGCCATCGTGAAGGTTCCCAGGAGCCATGGAGAGGTGCTCTGGTGGTGGCAGGAGAGAGGGAACGGTCAGATAGGCGGGGCACCAGGCCTGTCTGGGCAGGCTCTTCCCCCACCCTGCATCCGTGGCCGGATGAGTGGGGCGCCCACCCGGCTGCCACCAAGGACATTCCATGTGACCCCAGTGCTGGGATTGGCCTGGATCCCAGGGGAGGGCAGCCAGACCAAGGGCAGGGCCCCAGTGGCAAAGCTGCTTGTGGTTTTCAGTGCCTGGTGGCCTGGAGGCCTTCAGTCTGCCTCTAAGGGAGGAGCAGCCTGGGTGCCCTCGCCCCATTTCAGCCCACCATTCCCTGCACTGCCCACTTCCGACCCACTGCTGCCTTCCCGGCGCTGGGAGGCTGAAAGAAGAGCACATGAGCAGGAGTTCCTGGCCTTCCACTGCCCCCCATCTGACCCCTGGGGCTGAAAAGTCTAGAGCTGACCAATTTCTTTGATCACACAATCCAGTTCTCAGTTTACCTGAAAGTCCAGAGCTCAGAAGACCCTATACCGATGCGGCTGGAGTACCCCCGGCTGTGGGCTAGAAGAGAGGGCTGGGAGCCCTTGAGGAGACTTTGGCCCTGGCCTGCAGTATCGCCTGCTGCTCCTGGCTGCTTGAGGGCCTGGCTCCCACCCAGGATCCCGTGCGTGCGCTGCCAGTCATGGCTCCCCACCCCTCAGCCACGGACGGCAGATGTGAAGTGCAGGGTAGCTGTCCGCAGCAGAGTGGTGTTGGGTGAGCAAGTCCAAGGACCATGTACCGGGGGTGAGGAGAAAGGCTGGCCTGCTGGAATGGAACACCTGGGACCGTCATCAAACACTTGGGGTTTGCCCTCATGTATAAAGCTGTGCTAGGGCCTCAAGCCATTTTGGGCAGGACCTGACTATGAATGTGCCTTTCTCCCACTCACATGGCACCTGGCATGATGGGACCCAGTAGAGTCTTAACATTTGCAGGGAGAGGGGCGCCTGGGAGGCTCAGTGGGTTAAAGCATTTGTCTTAGGCTCAGGTCATGATCTCCAGGTCCTGGGATTGAGCCCCAGGTAATGCTTCCTACTCCCCGCAAGGGAGCCTGCTTCTCCCTCTCCCTCTGCCCCTCCCCCCACTCATGCTGTTTCTCTCAAATAAATAATTTTTTTCTTAGATTTTATTTGTCAGGGAGAGAAAGCACAAGCAGGGTGAGTGGCAGGCAGAAGAAGCAGGCTCGCTAATAAGCAAGGAGCCCAATGCAGGGCTCCATCCCAGGACCCTGGGATCATGACCTGAGCCAAAAGCAGATGCTTAACCAACTGAGCTACCCAGGTGCCCCTCAAATAAATAAAATCTAAAACAAGGGGCGCCTGGGTGGCTCAGTGGGTTAAAGCCTCTGCTTTCGGCTCAGGTCATGATCCCAGAGTCCTGGGATCGAGTCCCGCATCGGGCTCTCTGCTCAGCAGGAGGCCTGCTTCTCTTCCTCTCTCTCTCTCTGCCTCTCTGCCTACTTGTGATCTCTATCTGTCAAATAAATAAATAAAATCTTAAAAAAAAAATCTAAAACAAAACAAAACAAAAATTTGCAGGGAGAAACTGAGGCAGAGGGCATGCTCACTCCCAGTTCCCCAAGCCTGGGCCTTCCCACATCACTGCATCAGAAAAACAAGCACCCAGGGCCACCACTAGGACGTAGGCCTTTAGGAGAAGTGCTTTAGGGGATAGCCAGCCAGTCCCAACTCTGTGCCCTTTGGCTTCCTCCCTCCCCCACCTTACTAAGGACCCATCATGCGCCTCTTCACCTTCCTCTTCATCACACTGCCTGGTCCTGATGTGCTCAGGCCTGCCCCCTCTCGGGAGCCTTAGCATCCTGCTGGAGGTTCTGAGCCTTCCCAGCCAGTAGGGGAACTCAGCCAGGGGCCTGAGGGGTTCCCTGTGTGCCAGACACTGCTATGGCCTGCAGGGTGACCTCATTTTCCTTTTCTTCAGCTAGTGGTTTGCTTTTTTTTTTTTTTATTTTTTTTTATTTTATCCATGGAGAGGGCCGGATTCCAGACCATGGGTAAAAGATAAGCCACACAAAAGATCCCTCCCACCCTTCCTCAGTTCTTAGTTTTGCTCCCAGGAGGCAAACTTTGTTGCTAGATTTGGGTTGTTCCCCGCCCCCACCCCCAGGAATATTCTGTACATGATTAGAAGCAAATCCACAGAGATATTTGCCAAACAAATGGCAGTACATTCCAGATACTACCAGCACTTTGCTTTTCTTAACCTATCAGTACTAATAGACCCACCCCAGAATTTCTTGGGTGGGTGAACGGGCTGCCCTTGGCCGGAGCCTATGGACAGACATTCAGGCAGTTTCCGTCTTCTGTGAGTCCAAGCAACAGTGCAGTCAATACCAGCCCACATGCGGCCTTGCTCGTGGGCCGATGCAGCTGTGGGATCTAGCTCCAGAATTGCTAGGCCAGAGGGTATAGCATTTTCTGTTTTAAATTGTACTTCTTGTTTTGAGAAGGCAATGTATTCACATGGCTCGAAATCCAAAAGGCAAAAAAAAAAAGTGAAAAATCCTACTCCTCATTCCTCTCCGCAAAGAAACCAATGTTACTCCAAAGGCACTCAAAGATGTCCAATATGGCTTTTTCCCCTTTTATACACAACGGGTAGCATGGAATAACCCCGATCTGCGCCATGTTCTATCTTGGAGACTTTTCCATTATCACCCCATTACAGAGAGGGTCCTCATGCCTTTTTATCACAGCTGTGTGCTTTTCCATTGAGTGGAGGTGCTGTCCTGAGCCAGAAGCCCCACAATGCCCATTAAGTTGGCCTAGGGTGTTGCTAGTACAAGTGATACTGCGAAGAATATTCACTTTCATACATGGACAAATCCGTTAGGCACGAGTTAATGGGTCAAAGGTAAGTGCGCTTATAATTTTGAGAGCTGTTGCTAAAAATTCTCCAGTTTACATTTCCACCAGCCAGGAATGAGATGCCTATGGTCCCCCATACCATCACAGACAACCCAGTGTATAGATGTGTGCCAAACTGAGGGTGAAGAGTGGTACCTTACCGTGTTCTCAATGTGCCTTTGTTTGTGTGTTTCCAAGCCACTTGCATGTCCCATTCTCTGGTTTTAAAGGATTTTAGGGGCGCCTGGGTGGCTTGATGGTTTGGGCCTCTACCTTCAGCTCAGGTCGTGATCTCAGGGTCTTGGGATCGAGCCCCACATCGGGCTCTCTGCTCAGTGGGGAGCCTGCTTCCCCCTCTCTCTCTGCCTGTCTCTCTGCCTTCTTGTGATCTCTCTCTCTCTGTCAAATAAATAAAATATTTAAAAAAAATAAAGGATTTTATTTAGGGTACCTGGGTGGCCCAGTTGGTTAAGCAACTGCCTTTGGCTCAGGTCATGATCCTGGAGTCCCAGGATGGAGTCCCACATCAGGCTCTCTGCTCAGCAGGGAGTCTGCTGCTCCCTCTCAACTTCCCCCTCTTGTATTCTCTCTTAAGTAAATAAATAAAATCATTTAAAAGTTTTTTTTATTTACCAATTTATTTGAGAGAGAGAGTGCACATGAGCATGTTGAGGGGCAGAGGGAAGGGGAGAGAGACTCTTAAACAGACTGCACTGAGTGCAGAGCCTGACGAAGGGGTTGATCTCATGGCCCTAAGATCATGAACTGAGCTGAAACCAAGAGTCAGATGCTTAACTGAGCCACCCAGGTGCTCCTGCATGTCCTATTCTGTGAGCTGCTTCATATTCATATTTTTTGCCCATTTGTATAGTTATTGGTCCTTTTCTTACTGATTTGTCATTATTTTTCCCCATTTTGTTACTGTCTTTTACTTCACCTTGTTGAAAGTGTTTTTGTATGCTGTCTTCCTTTAATCTCTTCTATACTTGCCTGAGCTGGTACTTTTCTGATCTTCATTTGTGCATTTCAATCCTGTTCCATCTGGGCTTTATGTTAGGGACAAGGTAGGGATCCAACTTTCTCTTTTCCCAGATGGTTACCCAGTTGTCTCCACACCATTCACTGAGTAATTCATCTTTTTTCCACAGAGCTGAAATGTCATTTGTAACATGTACTACATTTCCATATGTATATGAGTGCTTTTCTGGAGCCTGCTCTGCAGCAGAAATTCTTGTCTATTCATTGGCCACTGCGTTTTTTAAAAAAATATTATACCTTTATATTTCCATACTTATAATACCTGCTTATTCACCCTCTTTGTCCCAATTGAACTTTAAAACTATTTTCTTTTTTTTTTTAAAGATTTTATTTACTTATTTTAGAGAGAATGAGAGAGAGAGAGCAAGCAGGGATAGGGGCAGAGGCAGAGGGAGAAGCAGGTTCCCTGCTCAATTGACTAAGCCACATAGGCACCCCGAAACTACTTTGTCTTTAAAAAAATTTACTGTAGGGGTGCTTTGTGACTCAGGTGGTTAAGTGTCTGCCTTTGGCTTGGGTCATGATCCCAGGATCCTGGAACCAGGCCCCACGTTAGGCTCCTGGCTCAGCGGGGCATCTGGTTCTCTCTCTCTCTCAAATAAATAAAATCTTTTTTAAAAAATTCACTCTAGATCCTTTTGTAGTTCATAGGCGTGATGATTGGGTGTTTACGCCCTTGTGTGACATATGCTTCCCTTAAACTGTGTTGTGACCTCGCACATTACCCATCTGACGTGAAAAAAAAAAAAAAAATTAGCAGCAGCTCTTTCTGCCCATGGGTCCTGTCCCAGTGCTTTAATAAACCACCATTTTGCGCACACACACACACACACACATTCACACACACAAACTGTATTAATTTTATTTGGACCATACCAAATGTTTATATTAACCTACAGAGAACTGACATCTTTATCATGATGTCAATAATAACATTTACCTTTATATCAAAATATAGGAGTAGATGCTTCTCCACTGGTTCATGCTTTCCTTTATGTCTCTGTAATATCTTTAAAATATTTAAGATTTATTTATTTATTTATTTGAGAGAGAGAGAAATCACAAGTACGCAGAGAGGCAGGCAGAAAGAGAGGGGGAAGCAGGCTCCCTGCTGAGCAGAGAGCCCGATGTGGGGCTCAATCCCAGGACCCTGAGATCATGACCTGAGCCGAAGGCAGCGGCTTAACCCACTGAGCCACCCAGGCGCCCCAAATATTTTTATTTTTAAGTAATCTCTATACCCAGCGTGGGCCCTGAACCCACAACCCCAAGATCGAGTCCCACGTTCCACTGACTAAGCCAGCCAGGTGCCCCATGACTGTAATATTTTAAGTGTTCTTCATTCAAAAGTTCTTGCATGCACATTTATTTTTACATAGATTCATGAGGGTTTTTTTTTTTTTGGTTTCTCTTTGTAAAGGGGCTCTTTTCCATTCTTTCCTATATATATATTTATTATGTAATATAGATTTAATATATAAGCATAAGAGTAATATAGATTTAATATATAAACATAAGAATAATATAAATGTATAAAGTAACATAAGTTATGTAATAGAAAATTTGTAAACTAAACTCCAGACTTTATTCAGATTTGACTAGTTTCCCCACTCATGTCCTCATTCTGTTTCCAGATCCCACATTCCATGTGGTTATCATGTCTCCTCGAGCTCCTCTAATCTGTGACAGTTTCTCGGACTTTGTTTTTCATGACCTTGACAATTTTAAGGAGTACTGGCGGGTGTGTTGTAGACTATCCCTCAATTTTGGTCTGTTTTTCTCGTGGTTAGACAGGGTTGTGGGTTTTTAGGAAGAAGACCAGAGAGTGGCCCTTCTTTGTTACATCCAATCAGGGGCCCACAGCATCAGCCTCTCACTATCACCTTAGCCTGGATCACTTGGCCAAGGTCGTGTTCCCAGCTTTCTCCACCATGGAGTTCCTCTCTTCCCCTTTCCCTTAGTCTGTTCTTCAGAAGCAAGTCACTAAGTGCAGCCTACGCTCAGGAAAGATTGTGGGGGAAGGGAGTAGCTACATAATGACTTGAAATTCTTCTGTTGGAAAGAACTGCTTTCTTCTCCCATATTTATTTATTAATTCAGTCATATTTATCAGTCTGGACTCATGGATATTTATTTTCCCATTTGGATTTAATCCAAAAATATATTATTTTATTGCATAAATTGTTCCAGTTTGGCCATTGGGAGCCCTTTTGGGTAGACTCTGTGTCCCTTTGATATTACCCATCCTTTCGTTATTTTGCGGCTTCCTTGCTTTCTGGCATTTCAAGATGTCCCAGGCTCATCTTGTATCTGTCCTGCCCTGACCCTAGCATCAGCCATTTCTCCAAGGAGCTGGTTACTTTCACTGGCGAGCGGCCTTAGAAACGAAGATGTAAGTGCTGGGTGCCTTTGTTGTTCCTAGGGTAGCAATTCTAGGCCACCTCAGCAGATGGAGCTAGGAAATATCTCTGTGCATACTTACCCGTGTAGACACACATGGCCCTCCGTTGTTTTGTAACCAGTAGCTATTTGCATATAAAAAATGAAATTGTTTTATATGTATAAATCTTGTCCCCTCCCACTTGCTAAACTGTCTTGTTTTTCTCTCCGTTTTATCTCATCTCCTCCCACAACTGTGTGAAGTCAAGACCACTGTAATCCCATCACAAAGAGGGAAACAGGCTTAGAGAGTTCAAGTAACTTGCACAGACTGCACACCCCCTGGGGAGGAGACCTCAAACAGCCCCACTCTATTCTGTGCAGCCTCCTTGCGTCCTGAGGGCGGCGAGAGGTTGACCACCACACTCAGTGGGCAGCATTGTAAGGATGACCGAGGACCCACTATATGCCAGGCATCTGAGAGAGGGGTACCCCCCCCCCATCCAGGGCTCAGGGGGTGAGTCACTGTTGGGACAAGTGGTATGGTGCTGTGATTAATGGTCAGGACAGACCATGATGGAAGATCGGGGAGGGCCCCAGAGCCAATGGCCCTGGGAGCTGGATGCAGTCCAGGGTGCTCGACCCCAGGGAAGGTCTAGAATCAGGCCAGCTGGGGAAAAGCTGTGTGGGCACAGGGGGCAGGGAAGGGCGGTGCTCAGCAGGCTGACATCAGGAGGCTGTGGACTCAGGATTCTCCACCCAGTGCCTATGCCTGCCCGCCAGGGACCTCCCAGCCCGCCCCACTTTCTGTGGCTTAACCCTTCAGGGCTCAGCTTAGGTGTGGCGTCAGGCCTTTCCTGAGCCCCCAACCTTGGTAGGCTGGTCCTCCCCTGGGTCCCCACAGCCCCCAGAGCCCCCAGGCCTTTCCATCCATCTGTCTGTGCCTGGGTGCTTGCCTAGCTCCTTCACAAGCCACAGAGAGCAGGCAGGAACCAGCTTGGCCACTGTGGGCCCAGCACCAGGTTCTACGGGCCACAGGAACAGATGTGTGGATGCTTGATGAGCGCTCTCTGTGGAGCCTAGGGCCTTCGGAGCTGCAGACAGCACCCTAACTGCCTCTCCTTGGGCAGGAAGTGAGGGGACCGCTGAGGGAAACTCTGAAATTCACATCCCAGCCCGTTTTCTGGCTTGCTAGTCTTTGGGAAGCTTGGCACCTGGGTGGCCCACTCAGGTCCTAGCTCCACTCAGTCCCCACAGATAAAGGGAGCTTCCTTAAAGTCCTTTCCCGCAGGGCCACACACCCCGGCTGATCTCCTCCCAAAAGCCCTCTGGTCCCTGGGCTTCTCAGAAAGTCAGACCTGACGGTTGCAGTGCCCGTGCCATCACTTTCCTGCTGGGCAATCTCAGGCAAAACTTTGCATCTCCCCAGGCCTCCCTAAGCATGCGGCTATGGGGCAGGGCATGTCCATCCTAACTGGGGACTGCTGCTAGGGGTGCTGGTGCTCAAGTTTCCTAGGGAATGGGTCATCCCTGTGCAGTCTGCTGGACCTTGTAGGAGCTTTAGGACAGAGGAGAGTCCTCCGTCATTCCCAAACCAGGCACCAAGAAAGCACACTGGGACCCAGAGATGGCCCCTGTCCACACACACACGGCCCTGTTTGCTGGTTCTGAAGAAGCCCGCGAAGGCACTCTGTCCGAAAGTGAGGCAAGGAAGGTTTTCCAGAGTAAGGACATGCAGAACTAGCTCCCAAGGGTGGTCTTGCTCCCAAGGAGCAAGAAGAGAGGGTGCTCCAGTCAGAGATGTGGGCCCTACCCAGGGCCTGATGTCAGCCCCGAACCCTCCTGAATGCCAAAAGGGAACAGGAGCTTAGTTTATTGATTTTCAGCCTTGTTCCCCAAAGGAACTGAGGCAGCTTACAAAACCCAGAAGTCTGAAATGTTACAAAGCGACAGGGGAAGTTGGGTGAAGGGAAAGGATCATGGCAGGAAAGGAAGATGAAGCCAGGAGTCCCCACTTACTGGGCTTGAAGACCCAGAACACCTTCCAGAGGTTAGCCACAAGTCTGGCTCTGAGCTCCCTAATGGCTGAGGAGAAAAGTGAAAGAAGACCCAATTCCCTGACCTAATGTGGGAAGATGAAAACACAACCAGTCCTCTGGAGAAGCACCTTCTGTTGCCATCACCTGCTTCTCTGCCTCTCCTCACTTCAGGGCTAAGCTCCCCTCTCTCCTCCACTTCCCACACTATGCTCCTACAATTCCTGGATCCCATGTGTTCTAGAACCTACTCTCCTAAGGTAAGATTTTTCCCTCTCCCCACCTCTCCAGTCCTGGTGAGCAGTAATATTAGGAATGCTTGCTGAGGAGACGCACAAGTGTGAAGAGCCTGGTCAGTGCAGGAACGTACAGGCGTCCATACACCTCACCCAGTACCGGCGCATCTGGTCAGAGAAATGGGAGAGCCCCGCTCTGCAGGGAGGAGGTGAGCAGAAGCAGAGGATGGGGAACAGACTCTCCCAGCTGTAATGGAGAAGGAGCTTCTCACCAGTACCACAGAGGGGGGAATTTGAGCTTCTATGGAAGGTGGAGAAAACACGGCCTTAGCAGTGACAGAGGTGGTGCTGATCTTTCAGCCTTGTTGGGACGGGGATTTGGGGCTGAGCTACTGTGACCTGGTGTATAGCGGGCTCAGCACACTCTGTCCAGCCCCACCTGGATGTGGGCCATCTGCTATATTGTTTCATGCTGGACATTTACCTCTGTGTGCAGGAAAAAGCGGGAGAGCACCTCAGAGGAGACCACAGGCTATGCGACCGTCAGGGGCCACCCATTGGCACCCCCCACCCTGGAGGGTCGCCTCCCGGGCCTGTTTTTCTCTCTCAAAGGGAGATAACCAGGATAAGGCTGTAGATTCAGTAATCACTAATCAACAGCTTAGTGAAGGGCCCAGCACGTAGTAGGGTCTCAAGCAAGGTGTCTGCGTTTGATGGATGCGGAGCCCAGAGGCCCCACAGTGCGGAGACTCGCCCAAGGTCACACAGCTGGGGCTGTAGATCCGACCCGGGCGGCCCGACTCCCGCGGGCTGGGTTTGTCTGGAGCCAGCTTGCGGGAGCGGCGTTTAGAAGAGCGGACGCGGGCGTGGGCGGGAAGGGACTTCTATTTTGGAGCGGGTGAGAGGAGCGCGGGACACCGAGGGGGCTGGATCCCTCCCTCCGGCTTCCTGCGCCCCAGTCACCTTCCTGCGACCCTTCCCGGGAGGAGCATCCCGGGCGGGTAGTGAGGAGCTGGGGAGGGGCGGGCCGGCGGTTACCTCATCGCCGCCTCCGGGAAGCTCCGCTCGCCCGCTCGCTCCTCGCTCGCTCGCGCCCCTGGCTGGGGCGGCGACTCAGGGCGCCGGAGCGACCGAAGGACAACGGGACTGAGGCACCGAGAGGCAGCGCCGTCCCCGCGCCCGGACCCGCTGCGGGACGCGCTGCGGGACCCGCGCGGCCAGGAGGTCCGACCCCGGTGCTCACGCTGCCGGCGGCGCCTCCAGCTCGCGCTGCGGGGCGGAGGCGGTGTCTGCACCGCGCGCGGGGTCTGTTCTCTCCCGAGCTTCGGCACCCGCCGGAGCTGCTCGTTCGTCCTCCGTCGGCCTGCTCGGCTTGCTGCCCTCCGGCCACCCGCTCCGTCCTCTGGCCCGGCCTCTCCTGGCCCAGGGTGCCCCGGGGGCGGAGGGGTGGGGGGCGATGGGGAGCGCGGGGCCAGGGCGCACCGGGCAGGGCACGCGGGGCGCACGGCGCAGCGCTGGCCCATGAGGGTTTACAGCGCTGGGCGCGGCTGGGCGCGCGGGCCATGGGGGGCAGCCTGCGGGTGGCTGTGCTGGGTGCCCCGGGCGTGGGCAAGACGGCCATCATCCGCCAGTTCCTGTTCGGTGATTACCCGGAACGCCACCGGCCCACGGACGGGCCACGCCTCTACCGGCCCGCGGTGCTGCTCGATGGCGCGGTCTACGACCTGAGCATCCGCGACGGCGACGGCGCTCCTCCGGGTCAGAACCCCGGGGGTCCAGAGGTAGCGACTGGGGGACGGGCGGCGCGGGCGGGAGCGTGTGACAGCGTGTATGTGTGGCGGGTGCTTGGTGCACACGTGCGTGTCTGCCTGGACAGCTCTGGGGTGCCCAGCTGTGTTCATGGATTAAAGGATGAACGTGTCCTGGGAGGTTTGTGTGTGTGTCTCTCCCTGACGGCCTGCTGCTGTCCAAGATCAGGCCCCAGGCCCGGCGATTTTGAAAAGAGGGTTTTCCTCACTCGCCTAAAGTGCCTGTATTATTTGCCTGCCTCCGAGGGTGGTTCTGGATCAGTGCATGGCAGACTATGGTCGTGCCTCCCTGCGGGTGAGCATTTTATGCTTGGGAATTAAGCAGACTCTCAGTGGGGGGAGGATGGGGCCAGACGCAGGTGTACTTTCTAGGGCGGTTATTCTCTGCTCCCTTATTCCTGTGACTTGGAGCAAAGAGTTGAGCAATTTGTGCGAAGCCCAGGGCAGATTTTGAATTCTTGGAGCTGGATGCCTCCGAGGGGTAAAGAGGAAGGAGCACACAGAATTAAGCAGGGCTTCCTGGAGGGGTTTACGTTTGGGCTGACCCTGGAAGAATGAATTAAGTTTTGGTTAAAAGAAGTGTCAAAAGCCTGCCAGGTGGAAAGGACACCATGTGCTTAGCACCCCCAGGCCTGAATGTGTACAGCTGTCCATCATCAATGGTGTCACGGAGCCTGGGGCTTAGAGGCAGCTGTGGTAAACAGGGAGGGAGGGCCTAAGAGGCCAGCTCTGAGATGAGCTTTGAAAAGCTGGAAGGAGGAAGCTAGGGGGTGGGCAGAGAGGAGGCCGAGAGTGAAGGAGGACTGGTAAGCAGCTGACTGGCTTCAGGCGCGGGTTAGAAATTTTTATCCTGGCAACCGTGAGGACAGTAGGGCCTAGGGAGCTTGGAGAGAGATGGTGGGGACGGCCGAGGCCTGAGGATGAACTGTGGGTTTAGCATCAAGACCCTTCAGAAGGTCTGGCTGTTGGAGAGTGAGATAGGGTCTCTGGCAAACTCCGGCCTCCCGTCCCAGGAGTGGCCAGACTCCAAGGACTGGAGCTTGCAGGACACGGACGCCTTCGTGCTCGTCTATGATATCTGCAGCCCAGACAGTTTCGATTACGTGAAGGCGCTACGGCAACGCATCTCGGAGACCAGGTGGGGATGCCGCCACAGGTGTGTATGGGTGGAGGAGGGGTGCTTTTGCCAGACAGCATGGGCCTTTGCCCAAGGGGAATGGGTGGGTTCTTCCCCGGTCCTGGCTGGGTCTCGGGTCTGCCAGCCATGCGGTCTTTGGGCCACTCGGGTCTGGTATTTCCTTGGGCGGGGGGGCTGTCTCTGGCCACAGGAATATATATACCCACTGCGGAGGGAGGGGTCTCTGGCGTGGGGAATCCGGCACAGCAGCTCTCGTCCCCATCTGGCCCACAGGCCGGCGGGCGCACCCGAGGCTCCCATCCTCGTGGTAGGCAACAAGCGGGACCGGCAGCGGCTGCGCTTCGGGCCTCGGCGCGCGCTGGCCGCCCTGGTGCGCAGGGGCTGGCGCTGCGGCTACCTCGAGTGCTCCGCCAAGTACAATTGGCACGTGCTGCGTCTTTTCCGCGAGCTGCTGCGTTGCGCTTTGGTGCGTGCACGCCCTGCGCACCCGGCCCTGCGCCTGCAGGGGGCGCTGCATCCAGCGCGTTGCAGCCTCATGTGATTGAACTGGACGTCGACGCCGAAGGTGCGGGGGAGGGTGGTTTGATCGGAACAACCGGGTACCCGGATTGGACGAAATTGCCCAACTTCTCTCGGATTGGACAGGACAAAGTCTCCTCCCTGATTGGATGAGGAAACCTCCCACTCAGTCTCCGGGGCGACAGGACTTTCTTTGAACTGTATTGGACCCTGCCAGGCCCCCAAGCCACACTGGGCTCCAGCAGTCTTTTCTGGGACCTCATTGGGTTACAGTCCCATTGGGTAGAAGGGACTTGGCTGTGGATCTGATTGGAAGCGCTCAGGTTGCTCCTGCGGCTCCACTGGACAGACTCTAAAATCACACCTCTCAGGAGGTAATAAAGGGTAAAACGACGGAAGCGCAGCTTGCATTTCTTGGGTGGGCTGCATGGTCTTAAGCTTAGAGGTCATTGCTCCCTGGCACCTAATACCAGAACCCCAACATGTAAGAAGGGTCCCCCAAAAGGTGTGATGGCCCCAAGGCCGACCCCAAGAAGCAGACACAAGCGGCTGGAACAATACTTTACTGTCAGGCTCTGCAGGGCCACAGGACCACAGGACGGGTCCTCACTGACCTCCTCTAAGGCAATCAATAATATTAGTAATTAAATAGCAACGCTCATCCCCCAACCGGAATGTACAACAGAGGTCCCATTGTGCCATGTGGTCCCAAGGGGTCTGGTCCCATGAGGTCTGGTACCCGAGAGGCAGGGGTGGAGGGGGGGCTCCCTGATGCAGAGGGGTTAAGGCCACGAAGGAATAGGATGAGAAGGAGTGGGGGCCTGGGGGGCAGCTGGGCTGGTTCATCACATCCAGGAATCCGGCTCTGCCCTTGGGCTCACAGAGTGCAGGGCATGCCAGGCCCCAGGCTCTGTAGATCCAGACGGGCGGCGAGGGCCCCGAGGCGTGGGGATGCGTGAAGGTTTTCGGTCTGGCTGTGTGTCCATCCGGCCCCGTGCCCAGGTCCTCGGGAGCTCCAGGCCAGCCAAGGGGCTCCCAGGTGCATCTGGTGGACCCCCCACACCGGGGCAGGGGCTGCCTTCATCGGAAGAGCTGGACAGGACTGGGCCTCGGGGCCCGGGCAGCCCATTGGCCATCCGGCCAGAGTCCCCGGGTTGGCCACACTTGCCACCCAGGACACTGAGGGATGAAGAGGAGGAGCTGGAGGAACAGTAGGCCGAGTCAGGAGCTGGAGGGTCTGGGGCCCGAGCTGGGTCAGAGGCTGGTCCGGCGGGGGTCCCGCCAGCAGCCGCCTCAAGGGCTCGGGCATTGGCCAGGAACTCCTCTTCCAAGCGCCGGAACAGTTGCTGCTCCTGCTTCGGGTCCAGCTGTAGGGGGGTGCGGAAGACACTGGCCGGTGTGGCGCCCAACTCTGGACTGGGGCTGGAGACCCGGAGAGGCCGGGGCGCTGCAGGGCTGCGAGCCCGGGGAGTCTGGGGGCTGCTTCTGCCTGAGCCCCCACTGACCCTGGCCCGGGGCACCCACGAGTGCTGCCCATCTCGGTCCCTGCGCACCAGCAGCATGGTCTGCTCCTCCCGGCTCTGGCTCCGGGCCCGCCGGGCAGGGCTGGCGGCTGACAGCGGGGCTCCCCGGCCTCCTGGGGCCCCACGGGGCCGCCCCCGATCCAGTCGGTCTCTGGACTGGCTGCGCGGGGCAGGAGGCCGTCTCGGGGAGGCTGGGGTGCCCGTGGTCAGCCGCCGGCTGGGTCGCTCCTTCCGGGAGCCAGTGCCTGAGTCTTCACTGCGGACACCAAGGGGGCCACTCTGGGCTGAGGACGCTGAGGAGTCACTGTCCCCGGAGTAGCGGCGGGAGCGGGGATGGGGGGGCAGCTGGTCCCGGGCCCTGGGGCAGCGGAACAAGAGATAGCGAGAGATGGGGCATACAGAGACAGGACTGGCATGCAGAAACGGCCCAGAGAGGAAAGGACAAGCAGCCAAGTGGTTGGGGGCGGGGAAGACACCTGTGGTGGTGGTGGTGGGTGGGGGTGGGGCTGTCAAGGGCTTCGGTCCTCTTGGGGACTTCCAGAGAGAAGTGAGGGACTCCAAGCAGCTTCCGGCAGCCGGGGCCACCCCCCACCCCAAGGCAGCGGAAGAAGCCAGGTTCCGAGTTCCCCCGCCCCAGGCCTCCCGCTTCCTGGGCTGGCCAGAGGGAAGCTGGTAGGACTGGCCGCCGCCCAGCCCCCAGGGCCTGCCCCAGCTGTGTTGTTCAGTTGCTTGGGTTGCCATGGAGATAGGAAGCCAGGCCTGCCCCCACCCACGGGAACTTTTCCCAGGGTGTGAGTCACCCTGGAGCACAGGCTCGTTTGTCATCCAGGCCAGGGCGGACACCCCCAAGCCCCGGACCCCTCACCCTCAGGTCCTCCTGCCTCTCACCTGAGGATGGTCTCCGTTCCCTCCTTTGAGGCCCGTAGGCTAATGGGCGTCACTTCTGGCCGGGAGCTCCGGCGCTCACCCCCAGGCGCTGGGCTGCCAGCCCGTGGGCTGGGGGTGGGCGACACCCTCTGTGGGGAGAAGGTGCGAGCCCTGGGCTGGGGCGGGCGGTGGGCTGCGGGGGTGAGACAACAGGTGGCCTGTGAAGGGCAGTGCCACAGACAGAGCCCGGCCTGCCCATCCCCCCTATGGCCCCGCCACAGGCACTGACCCGAAGACGAGCAGCGGCAAGGGTCATGCTTGTCCAGATAGTGTTCCAGAGTGTCCCAGCCGCCACCCACGCGCACCATCACGTGGCTCCTCAGCACCTGTGGGAGCCCAGCGTGGACAGGTCATGGCCTGTCAGTGGGGGTGGGGGGCATGACAGCCCACCTTAGGCTGCTGCCTGCAGGGCCGCCCCGGGCTCTTACCCGCACGAAGATGAGGAGACTGGAGTCTCCCACGCGGTACTTGCCCTCCGAGACTTTGATCATGGGAAACTGGTCTGGACAGGTGCAGTAGCCCAAGATCTCCCTCACCTGAGGCCAGAGAGGAGAAGCGGGAGGTCAGGGATTCAGTCCCTCCTCCTGGGGCCTGATGTCAGCAGCTCCAGGGTCAGGAGGAAGCAGGTCCTTCCGGAGAAAGGGGGCATGGATGGTGTGGCTCCAGACTTGGGTGCAGGCTCTACACTTGACCTTTCACCAGCTGCCCTTCCCCTTTGGCTGTTGGAGGTCAGGGAGCTGACCAGGAAAGGATGGTGGCCCTGTGGTCAGGCCAGGGCTTGGGACTCCAGTGAGGCACCTCCCTCCAGCCCCTGATCCTGGGGCTGTCCTGGGAGCCGTCCTCACTCCCCCTCCACCTACTTCACAGAGAGAGGCTGAGGCCCCACAGGGAGACTGGGTCCATTGGAGGAGGAGGGCCATGGGACATGAGTGCAGGGAACCCACGCCACATCAGTGCCACAGACATGTAAGACACAGACACACACCCCAACATGCACACCTAGGCCACATGCCCAGCAAGCACACATTTGCACCCCCCGCCCCAGCCCAGGTCAGGAGCTGCCAGGCTGGCTATGTGGGCGGCCCACCTCCCAGCCGACAATGGAGCTAGAGGAAATGAGCAGGAGGAGCCTCTGGTGACCCTGGCCCAAGACAGGATTGGGGTTGGCAGCCTCTGCCCAAGGCCATCAGGCTAACCCCCTCAGGGGTAAGGCACAGCTTAGTCCTAACCTTCTGATAAGAAGGACACTCACTCTTGGCCAGGCTGCGGGGGCGTTAGGGATACCTACGTCCCAAGACGAGCAGGAGGGAGCTGGGGGTACAGTCTGGCAGCTCCCATGTTCCTAACAGCAGCTCTGGGCCTGGCTTCCCCACCAGTGATGTGCGCAGGGCCATGGGGGGGTTGGCAGGGGGGCTGTAGAGCCCTGGGAAGCTTCCCTAGGCCCTCAGTGAACCTACTGTGTGCCGGGCACCTCGCTCAGAGCCAAGCATCACAGGCACCCACTCAACCTCGAGCTCTGTGATGTGGTTCCAAGTGTCTAGTCCTGAAGTACATACAGAAGAGGTCAAATCACACAGCGCCCGGATGAGGGGTATACAGCCCTTCTCTGGTGGGTGGGGAGCCCTTGAAGTGGGGAGATCACACAGTGGAGCTCAGATTTCATCCACCACCCAGCAGGGCCATGCGAGCTCACCAAGCACTTCTCCCTCCCAGCGGCCGTGCCCGCTCCTTGGGGCCAGGTATATAGTTGATGCTCAACCTGTGCACTACCCCATGGGGCAGGCTGTCCCATCCTGGGCACGCAGTGGGGATGTGCGCCCTCACAGGCGGACTCACCAGCTCGTCGAGGTTGCGCAGGTCGCTGGGTGTCATGCGGGGCCCGCGGGTGGGAGCCCCTGCTGTGGTGGCCATTTCGGGGGCGTCCTCCTCGGCTGTGCGGGCGTGGGGGGCCGGGGGGGCAGCACGGAGCTCCTGCTCAATCTCCTGTTCAAATTGCACAAGGCGAGGGGCGAGCAGGCCAAGGCGTGCCCCACGCCGCGCCACCTCCAGCAGGCACAGCACCACGCTCTTCTCATTCTTTCGAAGCACCAGGTCCTCCGTCTCAAACATGAGCACTTCGGGCACACCCAGCTCTGTTCGGCACCAGCCGATGAACGTGGCCACATTGTCACGGGCCATGAAAGAGCCGGGCACCACACTGTGTGCCTGGAAGGCCACCCCGCGGGCTGGGCGGGCAACAGCCAAAGTGCGGGCAGCATCGGTGACAGCATTGGCATGTTGGCACAGGGTGGTGCCCGTGGCCAGCCCCGTCAGGAAGCCATCGCCACCACTGGGCAGACCCAGTCCATACAAGGCGTTGAGCCACTCGGCCAGGTCCTCCTTCATGGCCTCCACGTAGGCCTCACTCGAGCGGAACGGCCGCACGCTCTTGGCTGCTGAGCCCGCGATGCCCGCCACCGGGTCCGCCATGCCCGGGGCCAGCCAAGTCACGGTGGGTGGGCAGGGACACAGGGCTGCTGTGAGGACCCAGGAAGCCCTCGGTACAGACTAAGCCGCTGACCACCTGTAACTTGCCTGTCATCTCAGGCCAGATGCTTGGTTTTGTGAGCTGGCTGTGAGAAACTTTACTGTACCTCGGTTTCCTTGTCTGTGAAATGGGTACAGTAATAGCACCCTCCTTGCAGGACCTAATGAGATAATTTGTATGAATGACTTAGTATCGAAAATGTTTGCTATTTCCCTCTGGGAGGTGGGTAACAGGATACTTGACTGAATCCTCCCTCCCTCACAGGTCCCCACGCATCCTTATTGCCCCACAAGGTAGGTGAAAAGCAGAGCCCTAAAGATGCAGCCCACAGGCGTGCGCCCACAATGGACAGGCAGGACATGTCCAGGAATTCAGGTCCCAACCGCAGGAATGATTAGCTCCATCACTGAGGGCT